TCTGGATGCTCCGGCCCAAGTACCCTCTTGCGAGCCTCCATCACTTGGATGTCAAGATCTTCGGCCTCGTCCCACCGGCCTTTGTTCCTGTACGTCGACGCCAGGTTAGCTATGCTGGTCAGCGTGTCTGGATGCTCCAGCCCAAGTACTCTCTTGCTAGTCTCCACCACTTGCACTTCCAGCTCTTCGGCCTCGTCCCACCGGCCTTTGTCCCTGTACGTCGACGCCAGGTTAGCTACGCTGGACAGCGTGGCTGGATGCTCCGGTCCAAGTACCCTCTTGCGAGTCTCCACCACTTGCGCCTCCAGCTGCTCGGCCCTGTCCCACTTGCCTTTGTTCCTGTACGTTGACGCCAGTTTAGCCATGCTGATCAGCGTGTCTGGATGCTTCGACCCCTTGCGCTGTTTTCGAGCTTCCACTACTTGCAACAGCAGCATTTCAGCATCGTTCCACCGACCTTGTGCGAGATACGTCGAAGCTAGACTTTCCATGCTCGTGAGAGTATCTCCGTCGTTATCGCCAAACAGTCTCTTGCATATCTCTAAATCTTTTAGCTGTAGCTCCTCAGCGTCTTTCCACCGTCCACGATATCTATATATTGTCGCAAGTCTGCTCATGCTGGTCAATGTGTCGCGATCCTCCTCTCCAAGCACTCTCTTACGAGCTTCCAGTACTTGTGAAGTCACTTTCTCTGTATCACTCCACCGCCCATCTGCAAATAGGCACAATCCATACCTCCACATGAGATCCATCCTAGATTGCTGATCTTTGTGAACAACATCGGAGTCCAGTGCAAAACGGACATGTGGCAAATATCTCCTCCAAATGCTTCTATTCTCGTGGTTATGGCTGGGGAAGACCTCTTCCATGCGCACAATGGCTTTCTCTGTTGCTGGTGCTAGTCCGTCTTCCAACCGGAGATAATTGCGCGTGGCTAGATGCACCAACCGATGCAAGTCGAAAGCCTGGTCGGCCGGTCGTTTACTAAGAAACGAATACGCAGTAAGTGTTCCGATCGCATCCACTTCCATCTTCCGCGAGGACCCTGCCGGAAGGAGAGACTGCGGAATGTCCTTTGGCTCTATACAGGCCATAAACGATAAGTAATCGGCCGCCAGACGATCGCGCCGCCGGATTTGGTCAAACGATATCAGCCATGTTGTGGCTATCGGATTCTTGATGGTACGATACCTCCCGTCGTCTTCAAACTCCTCGCTAAGAAGATCAATTACCTCCTCTTCCTGTTCAGCCAAGAGCGACAGATAGTTTGCGAGTGATATCGCATTCTCGTTGATGTACGCCGCTGCCTGCACAATGGCTAGCGGAAGGTAGGTGAGCTGTAAAAGCAGTGCACCTGTCTCTTGCCGACTTTTGGCGAGATCCGCATTAACCAGACACTTTCTTAGCAGCTGGGCAGCCGCGTCTTCTCCCATCTCCGGAACGTCCACCACGTTCTGTTGCGCGAGCTTAACTGCTATCTTCCTGTCGCGTGTCGTAAATACAACGGCTCCATGCTTGCTCTTCGGGAGGTAGTCCATCAAAGGGTGCGATCCCTGCCCAAGCTTCAGCCCAGGTCCAGGCTTGGCAATCCACATGTCGATGTCGTCGGCGTTGTCGAATACTAGCAGCCACTGCCCTGTACTTTCTCTGCTCAAATGTGCCTGCACCAGTATCTTCACATCTGCCTTGTCGTCTTCACACCCAGGTATACCAAGTTGCCGGGCAACGTCCAGGTAAGATTGGTGCAGACTTTCTGTGTTAACTGCGGAAATCCAGATAACCGAGCAGTGCTTTTGCTTGTCGGCGATGCGGTAGAGCAGTTCGATGACCAGCTGGGTCTTTCCTACGCCTCCAAGACCGGTGATCGCAAGCTTCGCTGTACGATTCTTGCCGAATAGCATATTTTCGAGCCGAGTCAGCTCAGGCTCGCGGCTAGTGAAGCGAGAGTTCCGCTCGAATGGCACGATCCATGTCGGGTTCACTTGAGGTGTTTCTAGCTGTCTGGTGGAGGGTAATTGTAGTTGATCCCGAAAGAGCTTACCCGGCCGGTGGTCTTTTGAATACCTCTCGAGCTCCCTCAGGAGCCGCCGAGATGCATGATGCTCGCCCTCGCCGTAGATAGCTTCCATATGAATATCGAAAATTCCAAGAAGAGAGTAAACTTTGTCTTCAGGGCGCTTAGTTATTCTGTTTGCTGCCCATGACATGCGCTCATCGATCGTAAAGTGAGACAGTGGCTCCCCCCGAAGCGCATGAATAGAAATGCCCGAAACCTGGTGAATCTGCTTTTCTAGCGACTTTCTGTCTCCAAGCCGCTCACCCTTTTGCGAGAAAAATTCGACGCATTGAGGAGCAATGAGCTCTTGTAGCGTCCAGCCTCGAGTGAACCACCGACTATTCCGCAGCTGGGAGTGTCTGTCTTCCTCGCTCATAGAAGTCGAGACATCTGCGAGGAAAACATAACATTTAATAGCATTCTGATACCACCGAAACATGGAGTTGATACTTTCAGTAAGCTCGGCGGCATTTGTCTTGTCAATACAACAGGTGTCTATCCAGCAGTAGTCCAGCCCGTCATTGATGGCTTGGACTGCGCAGAAACGGAGCTTGTCGTAACCAGCCTTGCCACCTCCAGTGCCATCTCTGATGTCTTTGTACGTGACTTCATCGCCGTCACGTCCCCAGGTGTGCGAGAGTATTGCGTAGCGGGGAACCTCATCTTCGGCAAACTCGGCCAGGCTGAAGCTGGGGTAATTATGGAGCTGTAAAAGGCGCATTGTGGCACCGGATTAAGAAGGCGTGGGCCTCACAAGTAAGATCATTTAAGTCACGAGCCCGATAGTAATCAAACTAGAAAGGAAAAAAAAAAAGGAGATATTCATGGCAGAGATAGATTCACCGGCACTCGATGTTGGGACGTCTTTGGGCATATGGGGCTAGAGGCGGTGGGGTGACACAGCCACACCCACCACAAAAAGATGCATTGCCAGCTGCGGGCCATCATCCCCTGCCGGCAACCCAAATAGTTTTCGCGGGTCGCCACAGTATGAAAAGATTCAATAGGCTTCCATGGCGATCCACCCCGTGTCGTCTACGCTTGCTGCGTATTGGAGCTCTTTCTTCTTTTCCCTTTTGCTCATCTCCATCACCAATTGCAGAATGGACCCCGCAAGTATTGCCTAGTACATACGCAGCCGTGTCAAAACACCCTCATATCGCTCGCACCACCCTCTGGAACCGCGCACATGGACGACCCTTGAAAAGAAGAGAAAGCTCAAAGTCAACAGTACCTCACTCCGCCGGAAGAGAATTCCACGGCTTAATATTTGTGGCGAATTTCTAACAATGGTTATCCGGCCGCAATAAAATATCTACGCTCGCTAGCATTTATTATCGCCTACCAGTGCGCCGCAACGGACAAACCAATTTATGAAACCTCCGGCCAAGGGTTAGCCCTCAGCTTTCTGTAAACGCCATCCAGAACTCAAAGCGAAGAAAGTGAAGGCGATAAACTAGAATTGTCATAATAGCAGCAGATATTACAAGGTCACATCCTATTGTAAGGTCATACGGAAGGAACTTGAAGACTCAGTTATTGTGCTAGAGAGTGTTCACAATATGGGTAGGATAGGAGTTATGCTAAGCATGCTTGGCTTCGCCAAAGTCCTCTTTGGCAAGGACCACCCTCAGGATTATATCACCTTAGGGTGGTTTAAACGTGTGTTTAATCCTTAAACTAAAGCGCGGGCGCACTAGAAGCTATAGATTCTAATTTGCGACAGCTTCAAACCACATAAGACGCTTTAAGTCTTAGAGTTTTGCTTTAAAAATAACATTTTTCTTTGCTGTATTCCTTCTCACACTTCTAAAAACGCTACAGCCCTGTGACTTTAGAGTTTTTAGCCTACAAAGGCGGCCTATTACAACTAGGTTAAACAACTGCATTGCAGAGGTATTAAGGACGTGTAAACATAGTTAGCATAGAGCATTTTACGTATCTCTATAGACTGTAAAGGAAAAATCAATCAAGCCTAGGAACATTAACGCTAGATAGGATAAGGTTAGTTTAGTTCGTTTAACCTAGATAGAGTACTTAGAGATATTCCAAAGCCCCACGCTAAATTAATTGTTCTAAAGGTTAAAACATAACGACGCAGCTATATAAAGTAGTCGAAATTTTTAAGACGCTAGTGACAACAGAGGCACTTACATTATTACCGCATAACCTAATTAAACAGGATGTCTATGCGCTTAGCAAGGTGAGCTAATTGTAACAGACGCTCAGATTCATAGGCTCATCAGCACGACTATATGCGCTACGCGCCACCAAAAGGCATGCACAAATTGAATCAGCGAGAATTCAGCTTGCATAGTGGATATTTATGAGCGAGATGAGATGTTCCCCGGATGCCGGGTCCCATCCAAATCTTTGATCTGGCCCACTCGCGGGTCCTCATAGGTCCAATCCATCACACTAATAGCAGCGATAGAAATTTACTAAAGTTGCCTAAACGTCCTTTCCTAAATGTGCCCTCCTTTAAGACAAGAATTAACTCTTGTTTAAACAGAACAACAACGGTAAACGTTGCAAATCAAGTAAATTAACGGTAACTATTAGAAGAGGCGAAAGTAAACTGCTCAGTCGCGAGAATTCGCCGCGAACAGATCAATCAATAGAATGCCTAAGACTGCTGTAATTTGCTAATCGCAATCTAATATTAGATAGATGAGTAGATAAAAAATAGTAAGAAGAAATTTTTTTTACTTGATTAACCAAGTAGGAGGATTTAAGATACTTTAGTATATGGTGTTGTGTTTGCAGGAACCGAGCTCTCCGAGCTCTAGTCACATACACTCCTTTCTCCCACTGCTGCCTAGCTACGCCACATGCTGCGGTCTAGAGTGCTGGCCTTAAGTCACATGAAGGGTTCACCTAATACTATGTAAACCCGTAGTTGCCCTCTTTTAGCAATCAATCTAGTTCCTCATGCCTCTGGTGCTTCTCCTAGCTTCACATGTTGTTCCGTTACATCGGTTGTTCCCTTATGGGTGGATGCACGTTGTTTAGTAAAATGCTAAGTCCTCTGGCAACCTAGTTGCGTTATAGATATAGAGGCTTAACTGTGGAGAGTGGTAGTTAGTAAAGGTGGATCTCTATAGATGCTTTAGCGTTAGCTGTAACAAGCATCACAGTCTCTGTTATTAGTATAGAACAGTAAATTAGCCCCTTATTTTACCTGATCCTAGCCTTATTAAACGCTAAGAAGGCACATCTAGCAAACAAGCTTTAGCAGTGTATTAATTTACTTTTGTACTAATACGCTCACAAACTCCATCTGTAGGCGCAGGTCTTGCATGAGCTGAGGAGGGGTCATATGGGAAGCGAGTCGACAAGGTAGTGAGATCCAAACAAAGTGGATTGAACGAGTGTATTGTAAGGTCTAAGGAGCTCGATAGAGCTCTGGGCTGACTATATACTGTACGAGAGAGGAGCTATGCCTAATGAGTGAATAGTGCAGTACATGGGTATGATATCGCGTGAGACACGTGCGACAGCAGGATTAAAACACTAAGAAATTAACTAGTATAGTCAATTCCTGCAGTAGATATAGCCTTATTAACTGTACAGTAACAGAAGAAAATTCACTTTTGTTCTAACTGCTAAGGGATTGCTATTATCAGTAACAATAGGAACAGTCTACGTTCTATTAAACACCATGGTACAAGTAATTCTGCCATGAATATGTAGCATTCCAATCAATTAATATAGCCTGACGGGCTTGAAATATGTCTAAAATGTAGTCTAAGCTTAGTGAGTTGAAGTGAATGTAATATACATTATCAAGCATGACCGAATTTCTAAGACGGGCGTACTTGTATCTTCAGGTAATTGCCCACGTGCGCGATGTTGTCGAATTTTTGGTGAGAGCCACTGTAAATGTTTGGAGATAGTGTATTCCGCAAGGGAGCTACACACCTTAAAACACAGCTAAAATCAGAATTTAGTTATCTAAATATGTAGTTAAGCCCGAGGGCTCCATTACGGGCTATGCAATCACTTCAAGATGTAGCGTCCCACATTAATAGACATATTTGTAGTCTTGAGGAGGCAATGATTTATGAGTGGAGTGTTATATTGTAGACTAAGGCCTAAGGTGCTATGTGATATAAATAGTTGTGTGGGACTCTACGTTAGTTGGTCGGAGGTCCCATCGTAGAGCTCTCAGGCTTACACGTCCCTCAGCGTTGGGGGTAGTGTAGGAGCTGTAGCGGCTGTTGGCGTGGTATCATTCCAGTAGTGGCCTTAAATGAGCTTTTCGCTCACCCATTGTTTCCAATAGTTTAGTGAGGTTATCTCTCTTTGATAAACCCTTTCGCTTGTCCATTGTTGCTAACGGTTTGTCATCGTTTGTCTAAACATAGTGCAGGCTTGAAGTGGTTTTAATCAGTCATTCAGCCTTTATCTATTGTATTCAACAATTTAGTAGAGTTTCTGCGAGGTGGGCATCCCCAGCACTATATGAAAGCCCTTGTGCGCTTCAGCCTGTGTTTAACATCCATTCCTGTATGGCTAGAAACTGGCCATGCCGAGAAAACTAATAGGTACTTTAAATTTTAGCAACTTAGACTCTGTGCACACTTTAATATTTGCTATATTTCTGTAAAGCTACTCCAAAACCTTTGAAAACCCCCTACCTCCCCCCCTGCGTGATGGGACACTCACTGTGCTAGGATAGATCAAAAGTACTTCAGCGACTCCTTGACAACTGGGTCTGTATCTACCTAAAAAGCACACAAGCCTAGCGCTAAAGCAGCGCATTTCTGTGAAGCGGACCTTCGACACCGCGATAATGTCTCCTACGCTCTAAAGCCGATACTATCATTATTACATTCTTTGAAACCATAAGAAGCCCTAATTTAAATAAATCTTGCCGTAATGCTAAAAAAAAAAACTTTTGTTTATAGTGTACGTAGTGTTGCACGAAATTTTAGTTGATTCCGTCACGCAGGTCCTTATTTGCGGTCAATTAGCATTCCTGTTTTCGGCGGTTCATACAGTCACGGGACTACTCTATACGTATTTTACTATGGATTACCACGGCCGGGCCAGACTCTCTTGGGCGCAGCCTCAGCGGTCTAAACGCTCTTGGGTAATACAACTTTCCTTGCGTGGAGGAACGAATGGGGCGCGGGACATATGGTGTCTTAGCAAGAGGAATCCCTGACCTCGTTGGTTTCAACCTCCCTAATTCGCGGCGACCTATTAATCACCAACCACAGGTGACCTTAGAGCAAGGCATTGTCTTTATATCGTGATATAATGCAAGAAGTGTTCCATTGCGCTGAGAATGCGACGTATGCTAACTCTCTGTAGTAAACTGATAGGGTGTGAAGAGGGGCCAGCATCATCAAACCTACACTTCGCTGCTCTGTACTTTTAGCCCTTTTTTTTAGGCTGGTAAGATGCCTTTACGCTTCTAATAATATTTCTGTAAAGCTGCTACAGTCCTTTTTGAAGCTTCTTTTCCAGAATATTTCTCGTGTGCCTCCTAACCACTGCGCTATCACGAATTTTGCCATGTCTTTCAGCTTCGGAGACATAGGGGGAAGGCCCGATGTATGAAGCCTATATTCTTAGACTTTAACGAAATCTAGCACCTAGAAGCCAGAACGCCAGGAGTTTCCCTACTAGAAGGTAGTCGCTGCGTAGCTCAGCGTATAACCTTATCGTATTAAGCGGCGCTTTGTCATGATGTATTAAAACGAAATTTTACAAGCTATGCCTAATCTGCCAGAGACTGGATAGATACACCTGTCTTGCTCTATTGTTGTCGCGCGTCGTCTACTGTTGCAGAGCTGCGTCGAGCAGACTCCAACGCGCTCCATCCCATTGGAATACAAAAGTAGCCATGAATCGAGCCAGCTAGGCGCTGGCGCAAGAGCTCCCTATAAATGTGCATATATCTTCAGTCATAGTCCGAATCATTCTTCCAATAAGGGTCACGTCTTCTACGATAATATTCCTCCAGCCACTCTTTTTCTTCTTTCTCTTTTTCCATCTCCTCCTCCATTCGAAACTGTTCATTGTCATACGCATTACAGTCTTCTTCGTTGTCGAATTCGACTCGATCATCACAGGAGATCCAAACTCTCTTCGGAAGCCTTATGACCCTAACAGTCCACCCAATATTGTGCATCTTCTTCGTTAAGTCATCGCTAGGGTCATCTTCGGGGTACTCCTCGAAATTTATAATGATTTCTTCTAGGGAATGAATGGTCCTAATATGTGCGTTGAGTATATTTAACGCCTCTGCTGCGATCGGCCAATCGTCGAGTCCGTAGTTGGAGTGTCCAGGTGGAATCAGTAGTTCGAGGGTCTTAAGTTTTGTACAAGTCTTCTTAATAAGTTCTAGGTTTTCGATATGCGCTTCGTGAAGGCTAGCTTTATCGGGCAGGGGATAGTTGAAGGTGGGGAAGGGGATGTAGATATGGCGAATAAGGCTTGCTTGCAGTCCGACTTGGTTAAGAAAAGGTGCAATGTGAGCACGGGTCGGCGCAGACCATGTGGAAGCATATACTTCAGGGAATCGGAAGCGATTGTTTGAATAAAGTAGCGAACTAGCCTCGCCGTACACTATTCTGTTGACACGAAGGATAGCTGTATAGAGGCCATCCCTTCGAGATCGGAAGAGAGGCGGCGACAGAGGGCCGTAATCCGCTACAAATTGGATCGGCTCCGAGAGTACAAGGAGTTCTGAATAGATTTTGAGCCGGATCTCAGTGGCGATATCAAGGAAGCCCATTTTGTCCAGCGATGGAAGTAGTGAGAAAATTTTGCTGTTGCTACAACACGTCATGCTGATATTCGGCGCTATACTATATAAAGAAAGTGGGGGGTACTTAAACTTTGCTTACAAAGCCGTAAAATAGTAGACAGGAAAGATAGCCTTTAATAGATCGAACGATAGTACGTAAATTGCCTCTTAATAGCCGTTAGTAATATTAAAATTATGGTATCCCTATACCTTTCAAGACTTAGCTACCGCGAGTGGTGGCTTAGCAGCCCAGCGCTCACTGTTCTAATACCCGCTATAAGAGTGACTAACTTAGTTAGTTAGACAGCGAAAAGAGCACTGTACTTATTACCTAAGGTAGAATACAGTGTATCCTCCTCCTCTAGACTTATGTAAGTGAGGATTTTTAATGTCTTTGATTGGTAGACTTTGATTAAAGGTACTGACTAAGATAGCAGTTCAGCACAAGCTAAATGGTACCTACAGCCTTACTGTAAAATATAACTCTTTAGCAGTGCTATTAGATTCTTAATCTTATATAAGGGCATTTTATAGGTTGCGGCAGTTGTATAAGCTTAATGGTGACTCTATAGTAGGTAAGGCTTGTTGTCGCTACCTCTTCGCAGACTCAGCAGAAAGTATCTACGCAAATGTAATTTTTCTATATATAGGTTTATCAATGCTCTAAGGTGGTCAAATCATTAATGAAAGAGAATAATTGCAAAAAATTATGAGTTATGCAAAGTTTATCTTGCTTTGGATTCAAAGTACTAATATTTTGTTCCGCTATGGCGGTTGTTCCGTTACGGGGTGGATGTCTGTTAATCTCTATGACTAAATTAACAAGATTATGCTAAGATTAAGCTCTCTAGAGCCTCTAGAAACACTAGTTACCGTAGTAACTGTACTGAACAGTAGCTTCACCCTTAATTAACTTGGCAGTAAATGTTACTGTCTGTAAGACTGTTTTAATATACGCTATCCAAAGGAACGAAGCCCTATTGCCTCTAATAACACATTACAAACGCTCCTGAAAGTAACAGCTACGTTTTATTAAACACCGTGCTGGTACCTGAATCACACAACAAGCCACAATTTGCAGCCCGTCGCATACTGGAACAAATTTAAATAGTCTCAATTCTCTGCCTCCCCATCTTCATCGCTCACTCTACCCTGATTTCCCTTTCGCTCCCCATCTGCATCCCGCTTCCGTTTCTTCTGCGTTGTTTTCAACTGACCCTTGACTCTAGCCATCTTCCCCCCCAACGTGGTCTCCACAATGACCTTAAAGCTCTTTGGAACAATATACCGGGAATCAATAGAAAGATCCCAGTTACGTCCCACAGACCCATATTTATCTTGCACGCTCATATCCTGATTGATGTCGATGTGAATCTCATGCACAACTAGAAGGAAAGGGTCTTGGAACTCTCCTCCGAGCTGTGGATGATCTTTGACCATACCGAGAATTGATTTCCACGCTTCGTCGAAAATATTAGAGCGCAGACCCGTGTACTTCCCTTCGTTATTCTGGACTTCGGGGTCGTGAAACTCGGGCCACTGCTCTCGCAGCTTGTTCGTCTTGTTATTTTGGAGGTGGTGGATGAGATTGATCGCAGGATGAGCCATTTTCTGACGGTTATTTCCGCTAATGGTCTTCTTGACATGATTTTGCATTCGGAATAAGTCGACAAGCCCGGAGTCTTCCCATGCGCGGTTGAATGCTGGTCCGACGATGTCATCGTGCCAGATTTTTAGGAACTTATCATTGCGGGTAACAGATTGCTTCAGGTACGGGAATATGATGTACAAGCCTGGGCGCGTGTTTACTGCTTCGCTCTCAGAACGGGCTTCGCCGAAGTAAATCGCTTGGGAGAAGGCGCAAGGCTTGATGTTTTGGCGGATGGAATGTGTGAGAAAGTAGCGCATGTCTCCGCCAATATGCCAGCGAGCTCTAGCACCAAGGCTCTACTATCGAGATTCCACGCTGCAACCCTACCAATCAAACACCGTCGTAGTGCCAGCCGCAAGATACTGTTTCCCGCGCCTGAGCACTACCTCAAATTTCCCTCCTTGAACAAACACGTCACAACGAGCATTAACAATGAAGTCTGGGACCTACATCAACTTTTCAAGAGCAAGCGTTCTCTTGCTACGCTCGACTGCCACATCCAGCGAACGCCTCTTCCGCGTGTCTTTATCACAATCTTCAAGACTGCAACCCACAGCACCGCGCTCAATCAAGCCCTGGATAGCTTTTCCAGTTGATCACCTAAACTATCTCGTACATCCACTATCAGGGACTTGTTCGCTTTCAGTGCGGCGGCGCCACTGCCGGATACAAACTGTAGATTGATATCCCCAATGATGCCGTCCCGATGACTTTGCAGGTGGAAGGGCTGTGACGGTTTGGACGGAGAGAGTGTCGTAGGCATTAGCGACTATGACAGGCTTGCCTAGGAAGTGGAGATTTTTCAAGGTGAGTGCGAGTTTGTGTAGAGCAGCCATGTCGGCTGATGAAACTCGTGGGCGCTTCGAGGGCGGAGACTTGGATGAGAAGGACATTGAAGAGGAGGGAAAGCTAGTTTGAATGCTAGAGACCCGTCTAGTTTTGAACGAGGCTAATATATCCCACAAAAGTATCGTCAATATCGAGGTTCTTTAGTTGGTATCGATATTCAGGAACATCTATTTACCATTCCACGCTATATATCATGCTGTAGTTGGACGCGTCCCCAACCGATGTGGTTCTTGTGCTAATCGAAATGGGAAGTATGTCAGTAGCTTTTTCCGAAAACAGAAAGATGTAAGACTTCTCCCTGATTAATTTAAAGCCATTTTTAAATATTTCCCTAACAAGAGATCGCTGTATCGCGACTAATTAGTGCTTGGAAATTGCTTACAGAGGTACTAGAAGCATATTAAGCCCTTGACGGTACCAAACCCTCTTGCTAGCACAACGCATTATGAAGAAGACACAGGCTCCTACCTAAATTCTAAGGCTCACCCCAAGTTCCACTGTATTTTTCAATCTATAGTACGAGTTTTTCCTTGTGCAGTTCAAAGTATTCCGGACAAAACGGAAACATTGGATCAAAGCCACCATGAACGCAACATTTAGAACGATTTAATTCAATTGAGAAACAAGACTAGCTTTGGGGACCTAACAAGCAGCCAAAAGGGCAACGCTAAAGGAAATTCATCTAGAGAGTAACTATCAACGCAAGTCTTGCATATATCAACTCCTTCCTACCAGCTCCTCCAGCAATTCCCAATCAATCTAACCCATCCCCACCATATAACTTCCCCTCGTGAACTAGAATATCCTTTACATATGGCCCGGGCAGCATCCTCCACTCATGTTCCCACCTCGACTTTTCCACAACCGTAAATGCCGAAAAACTCTCCGTCAATGCCGTCATCCCTACCACCCCCGCCGTTATCTTCCTAATAGCCATATCCTCCAACCATTTCACAAGCGCCTCCTCAGTCCCCCACCCCGAAAGCGTCCTATCTTTCATTCAACCCTAAGAGTCATGCCGAGGCGGGTCCTTGGCGTCGGCGGAGGTAACTTGGATGCAGCCTGATTGCTGCTCGTACAGAATTTTCAGAGTTGCCAGTGGAGCTACGAAGTTAGAGATGTCGAGGTTGACGTAGAGGTTGACGTATGTCACAGGCACGCGCAGCCAGTCGCGAGATTGCGTAGTAGTTTTGATGAGGCACATGTTGAGTTCAGCCGTCATGAGGTCCATGATGGGTTTGGAGAGGGTGCGTTGTTCATTCATAAACCGCTCGTGGGGGAGTAAGGTGCCCAGTCTACCATAAAACAATGTCAGTCAACATATGATCTAGAAATCGGCTTGGAAGTATGAGGCACACAAGGGGTACCGACAAAATAGCAATTGATGTCGCAACTAATTTCCGCAGACCCCATGAAGCACAAATCAGACCAGGGGTTTTGTAACATGAGAAAATATCTCGCGCCAGATTTCCCTATCGGAGGTAGACTCGTCGTTAATGGTTCGGCCTTTGATAGGTTCAAAGGCGATTTCAAGAATGGGAGTGGACATATCAGATTAGGATTTATTATTGGAGCTCTGAATTCTTGTTTAATTTAATAAAGATGGCTCTTTGACTCAAGGAGCTATAGTTTAGTCGATCAGCGGACGAACACTGCATTCTTTATCACTGTGGGAACTTACCTTTACATATATCTCAAAGTCTTCCAAATGGCTTCAGAAGTGAAAACCAACTTTCAACACTCAACATTCTGGAACAGTGGACAATCTCTCAAATATCCTAACTTGAAAAGCCTGAAAGCAGAAAATACCAGGAGGCTGCTCAAAAAGGTAATTGCGCTTTTAGGAAGACGATAATGCAAGAAACAAGAGCAATCTGAAATAGGTTAAATCGTTTGCATATGCATTCAAACTTACTCACCGTAATATGGCCTTGGGATGACGTAATCTAGAGACCGAGAAATTCGCGATCAGCCGAATCGCGAGCCTGCTTTTCAGCCTGGTGCCGTTTTGCCTTTGAAAGGTTCTATTTGGTGTCCTGCCAAATTCCCCAGGCTGGATGCATCTTGTATGCAACCCATACCCACTGCATTTGCATGGCCTACGTTTCTCGAATCTGGAAACGAAGGGTCATACTTCCAGAACCCAGTGCACCAGCAACCTCCCATCAAGGTATCCCATAGAAAAGACATGCTCAAAACCGTCACGATACCTCGCCCAGTTGTTTTCTCCGGGTATCCCACCCCACACTCTCCACCCCTCTTGTCCTTCCAAATCGAACACCATGGCCAACTTCCCTAACCAAATATTATCATCGCGATCATAGACGCAACCCCAAGCTGTAGGTTCGATCTACAAACCCCAAAACACAACCCAGGATTCTAGCGGTTATGAGCCAGCTCGTCTCTGCCAATTCCTCTTTCATCGAAATGTTGAAACCTCGTGAATCCATTGCCCCTAGTTTGTCCTGTTTCGACAAGTCAACGCTAAAACTAATGTGGAGAGGTATTTCACTATTGAAAAGTATGTTTAGTTTTATAGGCTAGCAGTTAAGGAATGCAATGACACTGAAGGAATGATAGGTTTCATTCCGTGGAAGCATTGGCGTTTCATCGAACAAACCTAGGTCTAGATGTTCTTAACAAAGCGGTGGTAGATATTGATATGCTAGCGAAGCCCATTGAGGTTGTGACTTGTGAAGTTTTTGTAAGGTTTATGAAATGTGGTTAAGAAGAGGTGAAGCCGAAACGTTGGAAACTTCCAAGAAATAAAACCACTCTGTCAAGTTCAAAAGACCCGACATCGATGAAACGCGATAACCTGTGACCTTAAGCATTCACGGTAGTTCCATCCGAAGTTCTATCCATTTCGTCAGCTTTCCATCTACCTTCTACCGTAGAATTCGTGTGAGTCGTGACAGCCACATGGCTACTGAAACCGAGCAAGCTGACGTGCATAACAAAGTCGTGTGCGTTCTGGCCGTATAAGGATCTCGCACGGATCTCGCATGAACCACCCCTGCAGATCATGCGAACACCCAATACATCGCGTATTAACCGGTTTCAAGAAGGCACATCGCTAAAAGGAATATATAAAGCGGAAGAATAACGTGAAAAGGATTTTAATAAGATCATACATCTTAACAGACTTCTTTTCTCAAGGAGCAGTTTCTGAAACACTTACCGAAATGCCAACTTATTTCCTTACCGGTGCGAATCGTGGGATCGGCCTCGAGATCGTTCGGCAACTCTCGCAGGACGGAAGCAACAATGTCATCGCAGCTGTTCGATCAAAGAAAGGAGATGTTGCAGAACTGAAGGAATTAGCGACGAAAGGAAACGTCCACATCATTGAATGCGATGTGTCATCCACGGACTCAATATCCAGCCTAGAATTCCGCGTCGCAGAAATCTTGTCCAAAACAGGCGAGAACCTCAACTATCTCTTCAATGTTGCCGGAATAAACGCCACATCCTCGGACACATCGCTATCGATAGATCCTGTATCGTTACAGAATCATATGAACACAAATGTTCTTGGACCCGCGAAAATCGTCGAAACACTCCGACAATACCTTGCAAGAGGAGCAGTCGTCATGAATATGACCTCAGGCCTTGCCAGCATGACCGTGGCAAAGGATATGCCAAAATGCTGCACGTATTCCATCAGCAAAGCGGCACAGAACATGTTGACGCTCCATCAAGCGAGGGATTTGAGACGAAATCACGCGATCGTGATATGTATGGATCCTGGGTGGGTGAAAACGAGAATGGGCGGAAAGGGTGCAATGGTGGAACCACAAGTTAGCATTGAGGGCATGCTGGAAGTGGTGAGAGGGTTAAAGAAAGATGATAGTGGCAAATTCTATAGATTCGATGGAAGCCAGGTCCCGTGGTAATCGAGGATGGAGAGGGCGGCGTGGATACTGGAATGTCTGCTGGATCAGTCTGAAGTATGCATAATGAAGCGATTGCCTCAAGTGCCTAATACGTTTCGTAACCCTATCTTGGTATCATTGGTCCTCTGGCCGGGCCCAGTGGAACAAAGTATGCAGATGTCTGCTTTCGTTGGTGAGCACTTTTCTCCGCAGATTTCTATGACCTTTCCAGGTCTAAAGAAAGGCTTTAGTGATTCCAACGAGCGATTAAGGTGTTTTGAGGCTTGAGGTGATGGGGAGACACTCCACTAGGTTAGTGCCCAGGAGTGGACCTTTGCCACAACAAATAAAAAATATGAATCCACGATAAAAAGCCGCAAAAATTAAGGATACCCAAGTGAGCAGATCAGGCTTGGAGCAGGAAGACGACAGGGCTGCGAAATTATGAGGCAGAGGACGGCTGAAAACAGAGCCACGAAGAAAATAAGGCAACGAGGCAGCGAGGTAGCCAATAAGCCCCCAAAACCTCAACGTCAATCGAACATCTCTCGGCTCCTCTTTCGCGACACAAACAACTATTGGGGCCGAAGCCGGTCAAGTTAGGCCGTAATGGAAGTTGCTTACACAGAGAAGAGCGTAAGAAAAGTGGTGGCGATCTAGCCACGCCAAGCTTGAGAAGATGACGTGCCTACCCTCTGTTCGCGCGAGAGTTGGACAATTCATTCAACATTCCCCCCACTCCAGCCTCGACCGTTACTTTGATATACAAATAACAGCCACACCAATGCCACAAAAATCGGATAAAACGCGAGACGCAGAAATGGAAGCAATGCTGCGAACGTTCTTTTCCTCCCCCCGTTTCGCTGTCGCAGGGGCAAGCTCCGACCCTAACAAGTATGGACACAAAGGTAAGCTTGAAACGCATCAGCTACTCCGTTCTTCTGACCTCAATTGCAGCATTGACGTGTGGTTTTCAGTTTTTGCCTGGTATCTCACGCATTCCTTACCAGTAACGCCCTTAAACCCTCGGTCTCCGATTATCTCCGTGCTCTCGAAGGCGCATACGACAACAGCATCGCCATTTGCTTTGCCTGACCCCCCGTCTTACTCCATGTCTGTTATCACGCCCCCTGCTGTAACTAAGCAACTGTTGAAGGAGGCAAAGGATGCCGGTATCCTGGCTGTCTGGCTTCAGCCCGGGAGCTTTGATAAGGAGGTCTTAGAGTATGCCAGGAAGGAGTTTAGGGTAGCCATTGCGGGTGAAGGTGGACGCGGTGGAGAAGGCTGGTGTGTGTTAGTTGACGGAGAACAGGGGCTTAAAATCGCTGGGAGAGAGTGGAATAAATTGTGATACCCGGTCCGAATTACTGGCTGTTTGACCGTCGAATGAACATCCATGCTTGATATGGATTGAGATAAAAAGGAACGTATGACTAGAAGAAAGTGAGGCGGTCGTCTTCTCGGATACTCTTGGCCGGAGCGAACTGAACGTCTTCCTTTTTTTCGGGTGGCGTGTGGATGTCGTGCATGTCGTTCGGACTGGCTCGTGATCGTACCTGTTCCACCCGACTTGGGAAGGTTCAAGGGGAGCTAAGGGAGCTAATTATCACTACTAGAACGAGTAGTTTGAGCAGTTCCTGAATCCCTCCATGTCATGAGCAGCAGAGAGACAATCCGGGAGATGGAGAGTTCCAGATAGCTTGCACAATTCAATTCATTGAAGGGAAGATTAAGCTTGGACAAATTGGAAAATAAAATTCTATTGGATGAATCTATTCTTACTTTGAGAACAAACTATGGGAAGAGTGGAGAAGGTTTGCGATCCCACCTAGTTACTGACTGTCTTAACTCATGACCAGTCTCCCCTCCCAGCCGCGTTGAGGCGATCTGAGGTTACCCAATCTTTAACGGTCAATAAAGCCAGATAGCCACTCTGTACTCGACTTCCCAATCACCAACAGCAAAAGTGTACAACAGGCCATGGGTCGTCGTGGCAGCGGTTGATTGGAGGTCGAAGAAGCAGGTGACCAGTCTTGAAAATGATTCCATTCAACTTGACGATGCATCCTGATGAACGGAGATGGTGTAGAGCTGTTGAAGTTCAATGGTTCCGATTGCAGAAGGAAGAATACATTCAAGAGTAGCTGCAGTGAGACAAGAATTTCGGAAAGAGTGAGAGCTGCATGTCCGCGTTTTCGCCCTGCACGTCACCGTTGTACAAACCATAGTCCAAGCAGCCGATGGAGACGCAAGCCTAGTCGCGGCATTAGCCGAACTTGGTTGTAGATGACGGGTTCAAAGCCCTTTCGTCCTTTGAAATCTCGCGTGAGCTGTTTGCCGGTCTGGAAGAATCGTAGATTGGATGTGTGTAGTGAAAACCGAACGACGAGAGCATACAAAATTCGATTGTAGAAAATCACGCAATTTCAGGAAGATAGTCGAACCATAGACCGGAGCACCCGGAAGCCCTTGCTCATAATTGCCTCTCTCACTCCATCCAGGCCCTTTTAACTTAGTAGTACGCCCTAATAGTCTCATCGTTCTTAGCGTTCTCTGCGAGGTTCCACAAATTGCCTACTCTTTCAGCTGCACCAGTGCGTTCGTCCCATGTTTCGCCGACTCGCAGGACGCAAGAGAAAGCAACGTTCCATCCATTGACACCAGAAGCGTAAAATGCCTCTGCGGCCGCCGCCTCCCTGCTCCCGCATTTGATCATTTTGTAGATTTGCCTTCCGTTGAAGTGGGCTCCGTGGATGAAGGGATCACTTGCCTGGCATGTCGAGAGGACCAGACAATAGAGAAGTGGGCATCCATCCAGTGCTTCCGATTTCTCTTCCGTGCATTGATTACAGACGTCTGAATCATCTAAGCAACCATGACAGCGCCCGCCTGCAGTGTATTTCAAATCCCCTTCTAAGGAATGTCCAACCGTGCAATTGGGAATGTCATCATCCGTTGGTGTTGTCAGGGCAGCTGATGCCCATAATCTCGGCGTTTCCAAGCTGACCGGTCGGGGGTTCGGAAGCTTTGGAAGATCGTCGAGCTCACAGCCGGACGACTCGAGCGTTGCCATTTGTCGGAGAAGTGATCGGCCTGGGCGCTCATACCAGATATCTGCGTCCCCAAATTGGAGAAGCCACAGATATTCCGCGAAGTCAGCCGGCTGAGCCGGATGCGTTGTAGTAAATACATTGCGCCTGAATGGTGCGATTCGAACCACTCGGTCCGCAATGACTGCATCACCAGAATATTGCGAGGGTATCAGACCAGCAGGACTCGAAACACTGTCAAAGAGGTTAATTGAATCATCCATTGCCACCCGAATGCCAAATGGATCCCTCGAGGGTTCGCCGACAATCAGTCCTGGTGGCGGGGGTGGGGGCTATTATTCAAAAATTAGATGGTATACTTTCTGCTGCCGGGATGTGTTTATGACTTACAGGAGGAGGAGGGGGAGGGGGGGGAGGAGGAGGAGGAGGAGGAGGAGGAGGCTTGATGTCTTATTAGCTTCATGTAGAATTGGAAGTTTAGTTATGTTAATACTCACAGGTGGAGGTGCTAAAGAATTGTTGAAGTTTGGTGGAAACTGATTCATTTTATATGGCGGTCTGGGATCACTTGGTGATTGTGGGCACGACCAAAGCAGTTCTGGGGGAAATGGAGACTTGGACGTGTATTTCATTCGTCCGCCTTGACAATTTGAAGGATGCGCATGAAATGGTGAACAATTTCCATAATGGCACTGGCAGCATGAGAAGTTGTTGTTTTGTTCTTTTGGAGAAGAGAAAGAGCTCCGATGCTGGTGTTCTTGCTTCGGTCTAAACGACAACTCGCGCTCAATAGAAGGATGATCTGGAGGAGTTTCGGGGTTCGAAGGCAGTAGCGTACATTGTACGCTCTCCAGCACGGCTTCCCTGGAGCTTGATGCATCGTAGTCCCGTTCGGAGTGTGGACGATCCAACAAAGGAGAAGATATAACAGTCATAGACGATTCGTCGCCAATCAGGACAATTTCTTCTTCCATAATGACCGGGAATGAGAGGGAGCGAGAATGGGGAACGTTTGGAATGATTGCTGAGGACTTGAAATGCCTGGAGGGTTGTCATGCAGAACGCTCCGGACTTTATATGTCGTGGAAAACATTAGAATACCCCTTTATATTACGCTTGTTATCACAAGGCTACCAAAAAATGTGAGGCAACCAGTATGAAGGACGTTATTTTCCGTGCTACTTGTTCAGAAAATGGGGCGGCTGCAGGTAACTTTGGTTTAATCTCATTCCTGCATGAATACGCATTCGTAATAGGATGGGCCTAACTGGATTGTAGCTTCATTGAAGGCAAATAGAGCAATCTGCACTGATCCGTGTCAGGTTCCAAAGCCTCTCAAGCCGCAGGCGCTTCAGAAGTTGACGTGGACCTGGGAATGCGCCAAGGTTGAGATTAGCAAGCCAAGCTGGGTAACGCGGCTAAGAGCGTGGCAAGCATTTACTTGTCGGAGGTAAACCCCTTAAGGGCCGATTGTATTCGCTCAAGGACACATTTGGTAGTATTCATGCCCTATCTTCATTCAGTGTAGTATACCTCACTTTCCCTACTGTACTCCAGTTGTCCTGCTTTAGAGTCGAAAATCTAAAGAGCTTGCTAAAGACCTGGGTGCTTGGTAACCTATCGGGTGAGGGGTCCCTAACACTGTTAGCCTAATTGGTCTTCGCTCGGTCATGGCTACCGACATGAGCAAGGGAGTGCCGACGAATGAGTAGTAACCACAGGCCTATCGAAATGTGAGGCATTTGCAGGGGAAGTACCTTGGTCCATTTGAATCCCGTACAGTGTCATGATAGCATTTGAGATGTCGAGGCCATGAGCCACAAGCCTGCAGACGCCCATTAGGAAGGTCCACTTAGAATGTTCATTTATGGTATCAATAGCAGTAGGATTGCAATTGGTATTACGAGAAGCTCAGATTTCATTCGTCCGATGTATCCTGTCCGGGCGTAGCTCTTCGAAAGCAACGTGCTGAGCAAGGGCTATTGCAGCATTCGAATCATTTGATCCCGACGATAAGCCTAAACAGAGAGCCGAGACCGGAGAGCGGTGAACTACATCTAACTCTAATTCCCGGAAAGCAGAGTCTCGCCAGAATCCATGAGAAGAGAGAAGACAATTGAAGGCGAAAAATGTGCCAGTCCTCGCGGCAAAGTTAAGAGGTATCCAGAGGATTCCGCCCATTTCGAGTCCTTCAACATCGGTTCTCAGTGTGGGAATTTAGCGAGGGGATATTGGTGCAAAGAGGTGTGCAAAGAGGCGGCGTATGTGCAGCAATCACTTGCATTGCAGCTCCACGATTGTGCAGAAAAAGTACATTATTCTTGACGAGCAGTCAATCTACCGGAATTCGTTAGTAGCATTTGGGTAGTGAAGATTATTGGAGGGATGAGCCGCACGAAAAAAAAAAATAAGGTAAACTAGACTGTAGTGACGAACAAGAGCTATTCACTTACGCTTTCCAGTGGTTAATTTTATTGTGCGGCTACAAGCGAGAGCCTCATGCGCAAGGCTGACAGGCGAACTCACCGGTCTGAGGCTCTCGGAAAACCTCGAGCTGCAACCAAAGCGACGCATCAATGATTTCGAAGAAGAAACTGAAGGGCACTTAGGCGGCTGAAGGGTCCTGAGAGCGAAAAATATGCATGGAAGGGTGTAGAACGAATCCAATGAAGTGACCCATCAGTCAACGAAAATTGTTGTGATATAGGAGTGGATTCTGGAGTTTCTTAAACAAGAAAGATATTTCAGACAAGTCGCAATGCCGCGAAAAGACCGCTAAACCATGGTAAAAGAGCTGGATGAAGGGAGAAGGGAGTGAAACGTCCAAGGAAAGTTACGGGGATTGACCCATCTATAAAGAAAAAGAAAAATTAAGGGGAAGGGTGTCAGAGATCTACATGAAAGAAGTCAAACACGGTCTAGTCTCGCTCAGGATATGAAGAATGAGGCGGAACGGTATACTTCCGCAATCAAGCAATGATGTGCAGAGGAATGGAAGGATGAGGATATAAATCGGAACAAAAGTTATGGTATCCTGTCCCAAGCGACTGGCCCGTGGGGGGCAATGGTTACTACGTGGTATAGAAAGTGGCAGAGAATCGATGGAGGTTGGATTAAGAATGAAGTCCTTCATTGTATCGTAGAGGCGGCGTTACTGTATTCGGACTAACGTGCCAAGAAAGTGACAGGGTTCAAGAGGCATCGTCAGAGCTCTGAAGCTCACTACTCACAGACAAAGCAAGGCATCGAATCTCCTCACACAGCCAACGTCCCCCCGGTAATTCGGCCATAGAATACTGATAATCATGGCAAATGGGTAACCGTGTTCCCACTTGCCTCACTATACGTCGCTAACAGTTGCAGCTGGGCTCCACTCATCGGTTTGATCGTGGTCGCTGTCTTCTGCGCCGGCGCCTGGTTTGGCACACCCAAGGGAGAGAACCAGACGTGAGTCCCTCCTGTTCCCCCCCTCATTTCATTTCCTTCTATCTTCGTCGAAGGTAGAGCGAAGCAACCCTCTGGCAACCCTTCCGCTCCTATCTAGTTCGAAACACTGCTAGCGAGTCTGTGGTACAGGCAATGACTTCTGGGGAGAAGAGCTAACGATTATCAACAGTGTCTGGCGGTCAACACTTCTTCTCTCGGCGGTTTCAATGTACCTAATGTGGGGTGAGTAGTCGTTCCCCTTGGTGTCCCTGGTTCTTAACCGACTCACTCTCGTCATCTAGCCATAACCTTCCTCGCACAACTACATCCCCTCATCTCTCCAATCCGGTACGATATCCGAGCCGATGACGAGCTTCACCGGCTTTAGTCCCACAAGGAGGAAGCCTAGCGCATGGGAAGCATGGGGGGAGGGGCGACAGGATAACCAGAAGAAGCAACACTCAGCATAGTTTGGGATTTCGAAGGCTGAAGTGCTCGCTGTACATTTAAGGCGCGCTCTGGCTGGATTTTTACCAACAATACGGGGTTTGAGGGAGCCCATTTGGATTCTCTAGATTAGACGCGATTGTACTATGGACTGATGGGCTGGGAGTTCATCTAGGCTTGAGAAGGATGCACATGTACATTGATCGACCATAATTCATTACCTTCACATTCGCAAACATGATCCATTCAACTCGTGTAGCGTCTCCGAGCTTAACCCACGACCAGCCACCATATATCCGCATCATCCGTTCTCAATTCCTCTTCTAACCCACCCATCCACTCCCCTAACCATCCCCACTAAACTATCCACATCTCCCCACCCAGCCGTCCCGTCGCCCCAACCTGTGCCCAACCCCATAGCCCTGAGCACAAAATTCGCAATAACACTCCTCAACCCCGCACCGATACCAACCAAAACCCCAGCCCGCAAATATCCACAATCCATCAATATCTCCAATGCCGCGACATTATTCACTATCACCGCCCAGCTAACCGCCGTCGCAGAAGAAGGCAGATCATAGTCCCATATTATGAGCAAGATAGGAAACAGCTTCGTACAGGAGCTAACAAGGAGAGCGGTAGACAGGGGCGTCGGATGCGGGTAGTACGGCACTATCCTCTTCCAGAACCCCCGCCAGATACGTGGGATTCGGGTGGGGGGCAGCGAACACAGGAGGCGAATTGGCATGTGGAATGCCAGGGTGCTGGAAACGACTAGAAAGAGGAAGAAGAGGTACTGGAGTATTAGCGGTTGGGCTTGCAGGACCGCGGCATTCGTGTTTGTTTCGTGCGACGACGGCGGGAGGGATGTATTGGTTGGGGTAGAGGAGGGAGGAGGGACGTGGTGCGGAGAGGAGGGCGGGAGAGAGAGCTTTTCGATGCGTGCCCAGGTTAGGTAGACATCGAAGAGGAGGAGAAGGATTCCAAGGCGGACTATGGAGCGCTAGGTGAGAATCGTGAGCTTGGTGTGAAGGGCATGGAGGGAGATGGTGTACGTCAAACTTATCATCGTCGCGTCCGAGACGGTTGAACAGGAGATGTCGATAGACCTATCCAAACTCATTACCATCCTTCCACCCTCTTCAATCTCTGCCGTAAGTTAAAACACGTACCTGTGGCTTGATCAACACCAAATCGATAAACAAGACCACGAAATCATGCTCGACATATTTGTCCGCAAACCGCTTGCAGCGCGGACATTGCGTCAGTCGAACGCCCTTTCCAAGAGATCGGTCATCGGCCTTGCTGTAGGCTGTATATAAGGCTTCGACAGGAAAGCGACATTCTATGCAGATTGGCATTTCAGAATAGGCGTGTGTGCGATGAGAACAGGTCGTGATGGAGCGAGCTTCTGGAGATTTCTCGGAGTTTGGGAGGTGAAATATGGTTAATTCCGAGGACTCAACTTCGCTCAACTTCCACATGTCTATCGAGTGGTGTTCTGCAAATGGCGAAGAGGTTCATGAAATCGTAAATTGGTATTTTGATCGAGTCTTTATCTGAAATTGCACTGAACTAAAGAAATCCTCCCACGCCCTTCATGTATGTCCACGCCAAACTACCCTTCCAATCCCAAAGAATGCCTTTCCTTAAGGGATACAAAAGTGAAGAGATGAAGCAGATCAATGGTAGCGGCCGTTATACCATCCAGGAACCAAGTCGGATATCGTAGAAACTAGTGAATATGGAAGAAACAATCAAAATCGTTCAAGTAAGGGTGGCCATCATCGCCGCAACCAGTTTCGGATTCGGCGGTCCTCTCGCTACCCAGAATATCAACTCCGTCCTTAATGTGCTGAGCGGACAAGGGCCAACCTACCCTTTCGGTCCTTTTCGACGCGGACGACCTCCCTACGAGGCTCTCGTCGTTCAATGATTTCGAAGTCGCCTTCTCGCTCGTATTTAAGCATCCGACGTTCTGCCTCGAGAAGTCGAATTTCATCCTTGATATCGCGCTCGCTGCGGACAATCCGCCGTTCCTCAGGGACAAGAACTGTCAAAGGTCCGCAGATATGATTAGATTCCTCAATTCGCTCCTCGAATACTTCATGACCGTGGCGGGAAGGCGACACGCCGCGGACAGACTGAGAATAATGCACACTTGGAGCTGGGTGGTGGTGGTGAACTGAAGGCGGAGGCGGCGGCGGTGGTAGTGGAGCAAGAACTTCTGGTGGTGGAAGAGGTGGCGGAGCATGCTCTACCTCCCTTCGCTCTTCATACACGTATGTGGTTTTCTCTGCGCATATCTTAGCAACGAAGCCTCGGATGATGAAGCGCTCCCTTACCATCTTTGTAATTCTCGCTGATTTTGATAATCTCGTCAATCTGTTCTTTCTCAAGAGCTCGTCGAACGATGATAAAATCATCCTACTCTAATTAGCACTAATGTAAGGACTTGAGAGCTTGAACTTACCTCTTCTTCGAATGGGTAGCCAAGCTCGATAACAGCCTGCTTTCGCACTAATCGCTTGGGCATTCGGGTCTTACCCTTTCGGCCGACAGTCGATCGAACTGGGGAGACTTCTTCAAAGCTAGAAGACGAAGAACTTCGGACTGATGATTGAGCGATGCTTCTTGCGGCTCTGCTTCGGCTTCGTCTCCGCCTGCTCTTCTCACGTCGTACTTCCACCTCTCGATACTCTTCTCCTCGTGGCTCGCGATCGATGTCTCGGAACCTGACTTCTTCATAATCACCCTCGCGGAAGCCACGGCGAGAAGGAGACCGGCGGCGTTCACGGATAGGAAGGGGGATGGGGACGTTAGCAGGGGGTCGCCATTCCTCCCTCTCCAGATCGCTGTACTTTGGCAGTGGTCGGCGATCGAAAGTGTCGAGAGAAGATTGGCGTCGAAGGAATTGAGGTCGAGCTGGGCGCCTAACTGCAATGCCGACGTCTCTTTCTATGATAGACTTCCGCCGGTAAGGGGCGAGAGCACGACTTGCGAGCTCGGATGCGGTCGGTTCGTCGAGGAAGTCAGCTCGATGACGGCGAGGTTGGGGGAAGCGTTCGTCCTCATGAAAACGTTCGCGTTCGACAACTCGAGCCCCGCGGCGGTCAAATCGCTCATCAAGTTCGATATCGCGACTACCGCCCTTGGGCAAGCGATCGTGCTCCTCAAAGCGGAAGTGGTCATGCTCATCACGTCCACCACCGTGACGGCTCATGCGCTCGAATTTTTCGCGATCCCATCGTTCGCCGCGCACTGGCGGATCCTCGAATTGGGCAAGGTTTCCTGTAGAAGACCGATACATGGTTGGGCTGGTTGTGGAACGAACTGCCACGTAACCTGCCGGGTTAATATCAACGATGTATGAGGCGGGGCTCCTAGATAAGGACTCGAGAGAAAAGAAGAGAGGATGAAGAGTGACGAGCTTTTAGTTGGTGGAAGAGGGCTTTATTTGCGATCGGGCACTAGCAGCTATAGGGCTTGGACCGCCAGGTAGTCAAGTTGAGGACTGAGCGACGAGAGTTGGTGGTGCTGTGGATGCAGCCAACTTCTTGAGCGATGCGGCAGGGCTTCGTCATCGGCGCATCCCAAGGCCCTGCATTTACTAAATCTCAGCCCACGCCCATTATTGGTGGGATGAGATGTGAACAGTCGTCTAGGTGTCAATTATGTTGCAGACTGCGCACAGTGAGCATGAAATGAAACCACAGTATTACCTTTGGGCGCAGACTTTGGGCAAGAGGCCAGATGTGCGGCGAGGAACAGTGAACCCAATTGGGCAACTTTGCAGCTGGAATTGAAGGTCTCCAATTGTAGATTCAGGGATACCTCTGTTTGCCCGAAATGTTCTTTACAGGATATCCCTACCTTCAAGTCTTCTGACCAGACCAAAGAGAAGACCTGCGGTGGGAGGACAAGAAGAATGACGTCAATGGCGTTGTGACATGACAGGGGTAAGCAGCCTCAGCCCTCTCACCCACTCTATCCAGCCTCGCTAATTTCTCGGACCACCACTGAACATCGCGAACATTCGTGGACAGTCGGGCTGGAATTCTCTCTCTTCCTTCACCGTCCGCACTTGATCTCTAAAGTAGTACCTTCCACCTGGTCCTGCCCAGACCCTTCTCTATGAATTATCGGAGGCGTATGGGAATGTCGGTCACGTCTAGAATAAGTCGATTCGCAGAACATTTCAATGCTTCTGACGAAAGCTGGCCTCGGATTATAATTAGTAGATACAGCACTGCCGATGCCTATTACCGCACATTTCAATGCCGTGGATGACACTTCTTGCGGATGACACTCCTCGTAGAGAAGCAACGAGAACGATGGTTTGGTCCCTTCTTCAAACTTCGTCTTTCGTTATTGGAAAGCAAACCCAAAGTCACTACCGTGTAAGAATGCAACAAAGGCGCAAGTTGCGGCAGTCACACTTGCCTCATCATCATCTTAGCCACCTGCTTCTTGTCGATTCCTTCCCAGAAGTGCACCCGCAGGTTAGGGGGCACCAGGCACTTCTTTGATTCAAGTCACGTTCCTATACTTGAAGTATTACTCCTCTCTGACCCCATTCACACTTTCCTTCTGCTTTGGTCTACCCGCTTCTTCTGTCCATTTTCGCCCCGTAGCCTAGTGGGGACTGGCAAGAGCCAAGGTCACCGTTCATCGCAGTAGTGGAAGTGGCCTTGAGCCTTTGTTTTTCCCTGGGTCTACAGAGCAGTGCTGCCTCTTCTCTCATATATATTCCAAAGCTGAGTTCATCCTTTGAACTCCTGCTCAACACCCACCAACACCCCATCCATTACTTCTTTTGTATGCTTTGCTTCGATTATTCTTTGAAGCCATCTGCCTTCCTCTATTTACCACGATGAAGCAACTCTTGCTCCCCATGGCCTTTGGCCTAGGAGCTTCAGCAGTGGTCTTAAAACGAGACGACGGCAAATGCTGCTTTACATTGAAAGGCACTGGCTCGGTCACCGGTCCCGTCTGGCAGCTTCGAGAGGGAACAATTCGTATTGGTGGCAGCAATCCTCCATCCAAGTTCTGCATCGATACGTCGACGAGAACTATGACAGATCCTGCTGGTAGGGGTTGCGGCATTGGAGCATCGTCTAAGTTAGCATGCAGAGCTGGTATTTCCCGTAAGCGTCTCTACCACGGTTATCGAGCAAACATTCACGTCATCAGGTTCTCATGGCTTCCTCGGGGACGGCAAATCCCTCACATTTCGGAGTGATCCAACATTCTGGGCTTGCCCTGTCGATGTCATTGGTGGTGAATACAGTGTCTTTAGCAGTCCTATCGTAACTAAATCGCCCTGCGTCCCTATCACATTGAGCCCTTCTGGAGACTGCATACCACAGACCCCGCCACATGAGAAGAAGAATATGGATTGCAAGAAGTACGATGACTGCTACAAGGCACCGGAATGCTTTATGCCGGAGGTCCCCAAAGCCTGGTGAGCTGCGGTATCATTCACGCAATCACCATAACACTAACAACGGTAGCCGGAAACCACATTACGATCTCCCGAGACCGCTGCCAGAGGCGGTGAAATATGACTGCTCTTGGTATGCAGCATGTGAGAAAGCACCCAAGTGTATGGTCCCGGCCAAGGTCCCCCCCAAGTGCAAGCCAACACTATCTAGGGTACGTTTGATTTCTTCGTCCTCAGACCTAGCTCATGGCTAGTATAGATGGCAATTGCGCCACCTCACGCCAACTGCTCTTGGCTGAAGGAATGCGATGAAATGGGCTTCTGCGTTTACCCAGTTAAGCTTGCGGAGTCTTGTCTCAAGCCGACCCCATCTCCACCAGCGCCTTTATCCTCCAGTCCAGCCCCTCCTCCACCCTCGAAATCTATCCCGCCACCGCCATCGCCGCTATGTCACAGTGTGTGCTCCACGCCCACACCCAAGTCAACTCCCTCTCCTTCGTTCTCTCTTCCGCCGCATACTTCACCAAGAATCAAACGCTCGTCTTCGTCGGAGCACAAAACAACCCATCGTCTTTCACCTTCTTCCACTTCCAAAATTTCTTCTTCAATCCCATCACATCCAGAATCGACGACCATTCCTTCATGTAAACAAATCGAAAGATGCTTCAAGAATCCCAAATGCCCCAAGCCGAAGGAAATTCAGGAAGGGCATGAATGTTGGAAGCTCGAATATTTCCACTGGGGGCATGAGGGTAGCTTTTTGTCTTCATCTAAATGCGGGTCGATGAAGTGCGAGGAGGAGTCGATGGAGGGTAAGCATGGTCAGACCAAGGGGCCGCGTCGCGATCCTCCCGGTACAAATATGCCTGAAAATATGCCTACAACAACGCAGATGGTAAGTTTAACGACTTCGAAGGCACCCATAACGTCAATGAATTTCAAGAAGCCTCACAAGACGACGACTTTGTCGGAGAAGCCCGGAAAGTTATGCTCGGCCACGCACAATCACTCACCCCACGCAACACCCGCTCCCTTGACATCCCGCGAAAAGGGCCCCGCGCAATGCAAAAAGGATCTCTCAGGCTCCCACGTTCAACCCCTCTACATCCAACAAATCAGCCGTCATCAACCAAAGCACACCTGGCCACCGTCTCAACACGCCAAGATCTGCAAAGGCGTGTCCGCGCTCTACACCTTCGACATCCCCTCTTCCTTCACCGGCAAGAAATGCGAACTCCTCTTCCTCTTCCCCCGCCGTAAGCATCTCGCCGACTCTCACTTCAGCTTCAATAACAAGGGGGCTGTGGATGTGGATAGGTTGAACAAGTCCGTGGGACCAGGAGCCACCTTCGAGTCTCTGGAACATGCGAATCCGGAAATGCATTTGACGCGCTTTGATCTGATAAATGGGAAGCATTGGGTGCTAGATAGGCAGCCGTGTACGCCGGGGCAGATTTCGTATGAGTTGCTAGATATGGATGATTTGTGTGTGGAGTTTGATCAGTCTGGGCCTGTGGTTGGGAAGCGGCCTGTGGGGCTTTATGTTGCGGCTTGCTGAGGGGAAGTAGAAGTAGAAGTGGTAAGAAAGGCCGTGGGTGAACTCGTTCTTGTTTCTAGTATTCATGAAGGTCTATGGTGGTGTGGGCTGGTATGTCCGACTTTTCCTTAGGTATCGTTTGTGTTTGGAGATGGTTATGATTGATGGTTATGATTACTATGACTAGATAACAAGACAAGGCCTTCACTCAAGTTAATTATTGGGGCATGTTTCTGGCAAAGTGCAATTCATCAATCGCCTCCCGTTTTCTGAGCGTCAAGAGACTTGTACATCTAGTCTTACATATACATATAATATACTCCAGCTCTTTCCTAAGCGAAAGTCCACTTCTACTTCCCCCCAGTAACCTTCCTAACCGCCGTTCTTACATACTCCATATCCACAGGCCGCCCCTGAATCACCTCCACCATTCCCCTCATCACACTCCCAAAATTTAGCGGTTTCGCCTGCAACCCCCTCATCACGTCCTCCACCATTCCATCCACCTCCGCCTCACCCAGCTTTGGAATTTCATCAACATACGCCTGCAAAATATCCACCTGGCCCTGCTCCTTCTCCACCAAATCCAGTCTCCTCGCCTTCTCAAACTCATCAATCGCCTGCTGCGACGAGGAAATGTGTTTCTGTACGAGGGACAGCAGTTGGCCATCGGTTTGAATAGGTTTTGCGGTTTTGGAGGCATTTGTGATTTCGGCGAGCAGAGAGCGGAGGACATTGAGGCGTTGTTTGTCTTTTGAGCGCATGGCAATTTTGAGATCGGATTGCAGGCGGGGGAGGATTGTGGGTTGGATGTCGGCGAGGAGGGGAGGTATGGTGCAGAAGGAGCGACGGAGGAGGGGAGGTGTGATACAGAAGGAGGGACGGGGGAGGGGAAGTGTGGTGTAGAAGGAGCGACGGGGGAGGGGAGGCGTGGTGTAGAAGGAGCGACGGAGGAGGGATTTGTAGGGGAGGCGTGTGCGGGAGAGGCGGAGGAGAGACATTGTGGGTGGGTGGGTTTGGAGTGGGAGCGGGGCTCGGAGGTGACGTTTCTCTTGAGATGTGTTGGGCTGTGGAAGACGGTTATGGCAAGAGGGAATTGAAGAGGGGGTTAAAGACAAGAGAGGAAAATTGAGGTTCGAAAGCTCCGTCTAGGTGGAAGAGAGCTTGAATCGTCTCGCTGAAGTGCAATTGGAATCTTCAAAGCGAAGGTCGTCTGGGCTTCAAAAAAGCTTAGCTGACTAAGAAATTCACCAGAACGCGCCGAGCTGATCCCTGTCAAGCTTGGCGCCTCATGTAAACCTTTTGTTGTCGGCAACCTCCAAGGTGCACACTTTCAATCACCGCGCAATTGGGCTTCCCTGCGCATTTGTTTCCTTCTCTCCCTCGCCCTCTCCGCTCCGCCATTTCGCGCCGAACTTAACGTCTATGCCTTCTCGCCGGCGCGTAACCCTGACCTCCTCCTAAGCCTCTCTCTTACTAGGCCGCCGCGACGACGACCCCCATAGCCTTCCCCTCCCATCATGGATTTCTCTGCCCCCCCAGCGACGCCCCAGCGCCCGACTCCCGGCGCGTTCATAAACACTCCTGCGCCGGGTCGGCCTGGGCTCTTCAGATCCGGCTCTGCTCAGCAGCCACAGCAGCCCCAACAGCATGTCGCACCCCTTCCCCCAGCAGCACCGGCTCCCTCGCCCATAGAACGTGCGGCGCGCACCATTAATGATATGCTAGCGAAGGATGCGAGATATCCAGATGTCGAGACATATGTTGGACGTAAGTCGCCTGTTGCTGGTCAAGGCGGGATGAGAGGCTAACAACTTCTACAGAAGGCATTTCCGGCGAGTACGACCTGTCGACGAACCGGGCATGGACACCATTTCAGAAACTCCGGACGTATGAGATTCCAGAGCGCATATTCGAGCAGGTCAACCAGACACAGATGGCTACTACCATGGGTCTCTTTGCCGAGATCAACCACGCCTGGGTTACTATCGACAATCAGCTATATTTATGGGACTACACGCACCCCAATCCGGAGCTAATCGGATACGAGGAACAGCCAAACACCATCATTAATGTGAAGCTGGTGAAGCCCCGTCCCAAAGTTTTCGTGGACACCATCTCACACCTCCTGGTTGTCGCAACATCCGCAGAAATACGCGCCATTGCCATGGAATGCCAGAAAGGGCCTGAGGGTGTGCACGGTGTCACACTGTACCAGACGGGGTTAACCGTGTCCGTTCGAGGGATTCACGTTGGGTGCATAGCAGGCTCAGCCAAGACGGGCCGCATATTCTTTGCAGATGGACGAGATTCGGAGGATATCTACGAGCTGAACTACCAGAATGAAGAGAAATGGTTTCAGAGCAAGTGCGGCAAGACAAATCACGTGCGCAAGTCCATCACCTTTCCCACAATATCCTGGTCTGCGCCGAAGCACGAATACGTGCAGCAGATGGCGATCGATGATACCCGGAATCTTCTCTACACTCTATCATCCAGCTCTGCTATTCGCGTTTTCCATATGAAAACACCGACAACCCTGGAACTAGTTATTGTTCGGCCGTTGGCTGCTATCCGGACTCTGTGCGGCCATTTGGTTCGACAATCCGAATTGCTCTTTGGACCTAATCTGCGGATCATTGGCATTGATCCTATCACTGCCCCAGAAGCCAACCAGCTGTCTCTTATGGCAACGACCTCAACCGGGTGCCGGATATTCCTAAGCACCACTTCCGGCGGATTCTTCAACGACAGCACCGCGGCACCGAACAGTATGCAGGTCCGGCACATACGGTTTCCTCCTCCAGACAGCCAGACAGCGAATCAAACTCCATCAAATCCATTACAAGCGTATCCAGGCTCTAGTCCGGTCGGCGTTCACTCGACAAATCTTATAAAGACTAGCGACGGTTTCCGTTACGCCCCAGGCTCATTCTTCTGTTTTGTCCAGAAGACAGGAGATGCAAATCACCTGCTTTTTATGTCGGCGCCACATACAGGTGAGATAAACCAACGAGACATAACTCAAGGCCCCCGGTACAAGGAATCTGCGCAGGTCCTCCCCCTTGGAGGACTGATGCAGGATATTGGCCTAGTCACAGATCCATTCTCAGCTGCAAACACCCCCCAGGGTTTCGGGAACGAGCTTGCAGTGCAGTTCGACAAGCCTCTCTGTGAGTGGGCCATCATGACACACAACGGCATTGAGACGATTCGTCGACGGCGGCTAGTCGATATATTCGCGGCCATTATCAAATATGGTGGAGGACCACAGGGTGTCGAAGGTGACCTCCGTCAAATCGTCAAAGAATACGGAAGGGCAGAGTGCGCGGCGACGTCCCTGGCTGTAGCATGTGGGCAAGGTTCTGACATTGGGCCGGATTCTCGCATTGCCAAGGTCAGTGATCCAGAGGTCCTTGAATATGCGCGCAAGGCTTTCATCGATTTTGGTGGGAAGGCGCAGGTGAATGAGAATTCGACTGTAGAGGGACTTTCCGTGGACAATGTACGGCCGTCCCCTCGTCATGATGGTATTGCTACGTACATTTCGCGACTCGTCCGGTCAATCTGGCGGACACCTATCATCAAGTCCGTAACGAAGCCAACCGGTCCTGTTCTCGAACCGACACACAAAATCTCGAAATTGCAAGAGATACAACGTGCACTGGTTCAGCTGCAGGAGTTTCTGGAGTCTAACAAGCAGTTTATCGACGGCTTGGCCGGACCCGAGGCTCTTGGACGAGTGAGCTCAAGGCAAGATGAGGTGGAATTGCAGGGGGAGAATCGGGCTCTTACAAGCTTAATGGTCATTATTAACAACATCATCGAAGGCATTGCTTTCGTGCTGGTTCTTTTCGATGAGCGGCTAGAGGATATTCTCGTTCTACTCCCTGAGGATCAACGTCTGAAAGTCCGACAACTCACTTTCGAGGGCTTGTTCTCTGTCAAGGAGGGCAAAGATCTGGCGAAAGAGCTCGTGAAAGCAATTGTCAACCGTAATATCCAGAAAGGATCAAATGTTGAGACTGTTGCGGAAGCTTTACGCAGAAAGTGCGGTAGCTTCTGCAGCTCAGATGACGTTGTAATATTCAAGGCGCAGGAGAATCTCAAGAAGGCAACAGATGTTGGCGCTAACGCGGAGAGGGGTAGGATCCTGCTCAATGACAGTCTGAGGCTGTTCGAGCAAGTAGCGAAGAGCCTGAGCATGGAGAACCTTACAGCGGCGGTTGATAGGTATGTCCAACTAGAATTTTATGCTGGTAAGTATACATGCCATTCTCTAGAGTATCTTATAGGTACTAATAATCTGGTATTTAGGCGCTATCCGGCTCGCACTCAAGGTTGCTCAGGAGCTCGACCGCGGGAACAAAGCTCTCTCATGGATCAAAGACGGTCAGCCAAGCCCAGATATCCGCCAAGACTCATACAACAAGCGGACTGCGTGCTACGCCCTCGTGTTCAAAGTTATCGAGGCCGTCGACCATGCATATAACGCCCAAGGTACCCAGCATGACGGAGTCATCTCACAGATCACACGGCGCAAACACGAAGCATACGAGCAGATCAACAACTCCGATGATGAAGTTTTCCAAAACTACCTCTACGACTGGTACCTGCAAAAAGGTTGGGCAGATCGTCTCCTCGAAATCAACTCCCCCTTCGTTGTAGACTACCTCCGCCGTAGCTCGCACACTGATATCACACACGCTGATCTCCTATGCCGTTACTACGCGCATTACGGCGACTTCCTGAGTGCTGCAGAAGTGCAATTCCACCTCGCTCAATCGTCATTCGATCTCAAGCTCGACCGTCGTATCGAGTATCTCTCCCGCGCTAAGACAAACGCATCGTCTCGCATAACCGGCTTCTCGGAAATGGGATCAAGAAATCGGCAGAGTAGGCAGGAGTTACTGCGGAATATCAGTGATCATCTGGATATCGCGAATATACAAGATGATATCCTACAGAAGATGAAGGCCGATGTGCGGTTTATGCGGACGGAGGATTTGCTAGCTAGGAGAAAGGAGGTGTTGGATAAGCTGGACGGGGCGATTCAGCCGTTGGATGATGTATGTTTACTCCACTCCCTACCCCTTTCCTTTCTCTGTCCTACATTTTGTAGTTGGGGATTTCTAGAATATCATTTACTGATTATCCTTAGCTCTACCACGGTTACGCCGACCAAGCCGGCTACTACGACATCTGCCTCCTAATCTACCACTCGGCCGACTACCGCAACCTGCCCGACGTCCGCTCTACCTGGACCAATGTGATCGACCAAGAGCACCATAAAGCCCTCGAAACTGGTCACCCAGCCCCCTGGGAACTCGTGTCTCTCAAAACCGTCGAAATCGGCCATCGTGTCAATCTCAATGAAAACGTCTTCCCAATCAACATCGTCCTCCAGCTACTGCTGCAGTACGATATCCAATACTACACCCACGATAATAATCGGAATCCCCAAGCAAGTGCAAGCGGAGATGACCTCCTCCGCAGCCCGTTAACTTGGGCTCTAGACCCCTTTATCCGGCTGTCCGCGCCCTTCGAGTCCCTAGTCGCGACGCTGGAGTCGCTGTGGTATTCGCAGGAATATCCGTTTCAGGGCCGCAGCCGGAGATTACTGGTGAAGTGGATTATTTATGCGGTAGAGCAGTGGGCCGAGCAGAGTCGGAGGTCGGGCGTAATGTTTGGAGGCACAGAGAATGCGATTGGGCTTGCAGACTGCTTGAGGGTAGTACTAGGTGCAGGGGAATTGGATCGTGCGAGGGAGGAGGATAGGGAGTGGGTGGAACGGGGAAGAGCGGTTAGGGAAAAGGTTGAGGAGGTTGCGAGATGAGTTGATTATGTGGCCGACCGTTCAACCGAGAAAATTGGGAGCGGGGGCCAGTTGATGGAATCGTTGGCGATGCATCGATCTATCCTTTCAGTGCAAACCGGTGTTTTCTGGAGGACATTGTCTATCTATCGTGTATCTCCGGGCTTCTTGCGGGATTGGAGGGAAAAGCATGGCTGACCTGACCGAGTGTACTTTATCTTGGAAGACGTGAGGTTTTTTTTTTTCAGTGGAGAGTGTTCTTGGAGATTTCATCATGAGCATGGCGCATGACAGGCAAGGTACGGAAGCAATAGCGATTGGTGGATGGAAATCTTGGAACGATAATTAGTTAGAGCGTGTTCTCAGAGTGAGATTGTGAAGATTGAAAGGTTATATTGAACCAGCAGCTAAGTTGATCGTGTCTGGCTCGTGTCGCGTGCTTGTGTTTTTCAGTTCCCTACAGTCGTTTCGGTGCCCTTCAATCTCAGTACTTTACTTTTCAGTGCATCCCAAATCCGTCTGTCCCCTGCCTGTCGCATCCGCTGTCGTACATCTTCAACCTTCAACTACATCCTTGCCAAACTCCTGCACTAAAAACAGCTTAGAGTTCCTTTTTCGTAACAGGCTCGATGCCCTTCGTCTTAGAAAGCAATTGATCAAGACGTGCGTAGCAGTCAACTGCCATGAATACTCCTATGCTAAAGTTAGCCCGGCGCCCGGCCATAACCCAAGACGAGTTTTCCTTCCACATCCTCCAGCCTCTCTCGGCTTAAGACCCCTACCCCCGGAAAATACTAAATATCGAACCATCAATACATCCCAAGTAATGCAAAACAACCGCACTCACCGAGACCCAAATACCCCCCATACATACCACCCAACCCCTGGACTCCCCTCTGCTTCTCATTCAACTCTTCCCAACTCAGCATCTCCGCCATACACGTGAGTGTCGTGATTGTAGTTTGCAGGCCGAAGATTAGTAGATGTAGTGGGATGCGAGGGTCGTTGCGTAAGAGAGCTGGGATCGCCCAGAGGGTAAGGGGGAGGTGGTAAGTTAGTTCGAGCAGAGTGTAGAGTGTGAACCAGGATCTAAGGGGGTGTTAGGGTCTGCGGTTTTGATGGGGGAAAGGGGGAAGGGAAAGATTGGGAGGCGGAGGGGTATGGGAGGAAGAATCTTGGGTGCATTTTGGTTAGGATTTTCGTCCAGCTTCATTCGCCGGAATATACTCGGCTGGTGCAAGCATATATACACGTCCTCATATTCCTTGCGGCTAGCCTTCTGCTGATATGGATATGCAATGCATCGACAGAATTACCCGGACTCGCGGTTCTGAAAAGCAAGAATTCACTTACGGCGGCTCAGAGAAAAATCGATCTCCATAAGTATTGTAATACCAAGCTCGTACTTGGGGCATCCAGGCCGGCTTAATGGACGTGGGATAGAATGAAGTCAGGTCGAATGCTGAGAGGGACGTAAGTATTTAGATCATTATCTGCGCTCTTCTCGATAGTACATATTCAAGTCCTCGTGGGTGAGGTTCCCCGCTTTGTGAGAAGACACAGAAATTGCAGGACGAGAAGAGAAATTCGAGGATGAAATGACGTAGTCGCAGAGCAACGTTAGGAGTCGCTGGGGAAACGAGATCTATGCTCAACCAAGGAAATAGACAGGAAGGAAAATGCGCAGAGTGTATGCCAAAAAGGGGGTAAAAAACTCCATCATATCAACCTCCTTCTCTTCTTCCATTCTTTATGCACAATTCTCTACTCTTATTCTGCAAGTCCACCATCACAACAGAAAATTTCGTAGCCACTACTTACCAAGCATAACCGGGAGATGAATCAGAAAGAAGACGAGATACACAAGATCTCTCTTCCGATGAAAGATTGAAGTAGCCATCGTTGAAGCTGCTGCCTTAAAGAAATATGCTGAAGCTCGAACGATAAATTGTTGAGGCTAATGTCGATGTTGATGTCCAAAATACGAGTTGTGAGATTACCCCACGCTATAGCGAGCTAATCTCAGATAGGAAAACGGGGAAACATGTTCACGTGACCTCGTATCCTTCACTGTGCCTGTTTGCCCAGGTGCTCAGAGTCCAGCCACAAATCCCAGGAATATGTCATAGATGAGTAAATCTTCTATCAGATTAGTAAAACACAGAGATGTCGAAACAGCTTATATTTGCAATCCCATTTTTACGCTTCCACACACATAACCATCCATCCATCCCAACCTACATACAAGATCATTAACAAAAGCCATTCCATAAAATATTCAAGAGACTCTCCCTCCCTCGCATCCCCTCGCCACCTCCCAGATCAAGTTAGAAGAAAATGTGTGACACCACCCAGGGTATAAAGTATTTCAAAGCACTGGCCCCGCCCCAGAATCATCAACATAAGTCACCGCCTGCCATCCACGTTCGCATTTCGTTCCCGATCCCGTCGTCCCCCGACCGAGTTAAGAGCAAACCAGATAGACAAAAAGAACCCCTATTTATACACAAATATAGCCCCAATATAATGTTCCATGATGCGCTTGCTGAAAGCTCGTAGTAAAGTAAAATTAGAAAGGGGGTTAATCAAACCGCATAAATCAAACAGCAGCGAAAGGACAGAGTGATAAGTGAAGAGTAGAGAAGAAAATAGAATGAAAATGCCGTATCCTCGTAATATAAAATCAAAACATCCATATCCCCAATTTAAATCCGTATGTCAAGTAGTAATAACTCCAAAGCCTCCCCATAATCACAAAGAACCCACTCAATCTAATGCTGGAGGGGGAGATTTACATGCTTCCAGCACCTGGGATGAGCATTTCAACACACTTGGTCAACAGATTGCTCGCCTCGTGCAACAGCTCCCACCTCGTCTTCTTGAACATATCCCGCATGAGGATCAACAGGCCAAGGCATGCATTTCGATCCGGCAGCTTCGCCAGGTCATCGGGCGCTCGCACGCCTCCTACCCTGCGCAAAAAGCCATACATGTCTCTGACCTTGTCTTCGTGGGTTGGGAGTTTGTACGCAGACTTGACAGGACCATCGAGAGCATAGCCATATGACCAGACAATGAGAGTGGCAAAGTAGAGGACCCATGGCCTGTTAAGTAAGAAGTCATCGCGAGCTGAATAGTCGAAGCTGGTCGAGGGTGAACTATTCGATGGGCCTCCGCCGTTCTCGTTGAAGATCATGACGTTCGACAAGAAACGAAGTGCGTAGAAAGTTGCATCTCGAGCCCGTGCTGTAGGCGCCCAAGTTTCCTTCATTCTCCGCTGAGCACCGTTGTAGTCTTGAGGTGTTATCGATCGTCCGAGCAATCTGGTGGCACCAGCATAGATTTGGCAGTCGACTATATCGACATGCATTGCCATATGGGCCATGTGGTGAAGGACTGTGCGGGATTCATAAACGTTCTCGTCATCCAGGCCGTTGGAATATGAATATGCGTTCGGGGCGGCGAGGTCGGTGGGCCGGGCCAGCGAGGTGTCAAAATCCTGTTTCCAGAAGTCGAAAGCGCGAGTGAGAGATCCCCTCCATTTATCGCGTCCACCTAGCGCCTGTGATACACCAAGCGAACTAACTTGGAGGTCTCGTTGGTTCATATGCCAAGATACGCTGAGTAATCCAGCCATAAGAATGGTGCGGCCAAATGAATTCGTTCTCACGCTCTGCCCATTTAGGGTCTTCTTCAGTCCATCCAGGAAGGTGGTCTGCTTGATACCATTCGCGTGTAGGCTGGCCTCAACTCTGCCAACTTCAGAACTGCTTGTGGCTGACCAGAGAGCCTCATCGCAGGGCAATGGTAACCGCATCTCGTGAGCGACCATGACAGCGCTGTGACCGAACATGGTCGCATGTATGCTATCCATGACAAATGCTGCAAAGGCAGCCCTTCTCGTTGCCTCATTTGTGATCCAGTGATTCCACCACTCATCTGGGGTATTCGCTCCACCAAGAGCTCCGTTGATGCTTGGCTTCGCATCTTTGACGCTTGGAGGAGAATCCATAGCGGACCTACCAATTAGTGAGCTTCCTCTCCTCATCAGTGTTAGTGTCGTAGCATGATGAATATGTGCACGCTCATGCAGCGGGCGAGTGGAATACATCTTTTCAAACACTTCCAGAAGGAGCAATGCTTGGAAGATCCACAATTTCGCCGGTGGCCGGAAATCAGCATCCATGAAGATTTCCCAACGGAGGTGCCAAGCTAAGAAAGCCGAGAGATTTGCACATGCCTGTGTCACATCATGGCTATAGCTCTTGTCTAGACACGAAGCGCCAAGACACATGATAGCCAGCAGCAGAAGATCAGGGCAGGATGTTGCGTTGAATGTGGGCTTATGCAGAATCGGCAGCTGTTGGTGAAAGTGTATCCAGTATGACCCAATATAAGTCTGCATCATGTGCAAACTTAGGACGTGATGATCGTCGTCCTTGTTCCCCTCAAGAATATCCTCTTTCTGCTTCTTAACTGGCGCATGGTCTGTTTCATTGAACCGACCAATGATCAGGTCAAGCAAGTCTTTACGCTTCTCTTCAGATAACACTGATTCTGGGGGCGTTGTGTCCAAAATGCTATTGACCGCCATAGGATGCGCAGGAGGTGCTGGATTATTGAAGTATCCAGCAACAGACGGATCATAGTTGAAGTACGGCGCCTGCAGACCAATTTGTGATGATGCAGACCCAATCTGGCCGAGATTATTGGACCCAGTCGGATAACCCATCGGGGAGGCACCCGGCCCGAAGTTTGAGTCGTTGAACAGCCACGCAGCGAAGTCATCAGCCATCGCAAAGGGAGATCTACTGTAGCCCTCACCGCCAAACATGGGAATAGCATACGAGGGCGTGGTGTTCTCGAGCATTGAGGTTTCAGATACTCCGTTCATCCTAGTGTCTATCTGCTGTGCAGTTGCCTCGACGCCATTCATGGGGGTCTGCCCGGACGTGCCATTGTAGTATTGGTTGTCAGGCTGCTCTCTTGCTGCGGGAGTAGCGGGTTGTTGAATCGAGGGAAATTCCGGGGGTGGGAGGGATGTGAACTGAGGGAAATTCTGCTGTGACTGATAACCAGGACCAGAATTGGGCTGATAAGAGTTATTCACCGCTGTCCCTGAAGGGGGATATGATTGCGATGGAGTGGCTGCAGAATTATACGGCGAGTTCGAGCCGTATGATGATGATAAGTTGGACGTCTGCGCCCTAAGTTCAGGCCGCTGGAAGTTTCCATTGCTCATATGTGGGGAATTGGTGACCGGCGGCCTCGCTCCGTACTGCGAACCAAAAGTGGAGGTGCGTGATGGTGGGGGTCCGAAGTTTCCAGAGCCCTGGGACTGCATCTCATACTTAGCATCAGAGCCAGCGCGATATGATTCGTCACTGCCAGCCCTGTTCAAAGCGTCGGGTCGTGTAATGTTCGATGCAGGGGAATGAAGGTTTGGTGGGGACATCTGCGGTCCCGTCGCAGAAGACCCTGCTGCAGGGGACTGCAGGGCAAAGGTTCTTTCCGATGCTCCTTGCTGCAACTGGAGAAAATTAGCAAGGTCGGGCGATATGGCGCATGGGGTTATCTATACCGTGGGGGAGTTCTTCATGTTGCCAAGCTTGGTGGCCGTTCCGTTCTTTGGGGCCATGGCTGCAGTGACGATGGGGTTCAGATTGTGCATGAAGGTGTCCTTTCGCAGCAATTGCGAGCCCCGCGCTGTGTGTCGCTCTTTGTGTCGTGCACACAAGTCTTGACGGACGAAGGACCGGTGGCATTCGGGGAAGTCGCAGTGGTAGATTTGCTTCGGGTTGTCTGCAGGAGTTAGTGAATATATCTATATTCTGTGGGGTCTCGTGACAGTGGCGCGGGGTTTGGGCACGATGCGCGGTGATGGGTGAATGCCCGAGCCCAGGCCTCGAACAGTCTCATAGGGGTGAAGAGCACTTACGGTTCAGTTGGTGCCGGTACAAGTGCTCTGCCCTCGAGTAGCTCTTCCCGCACCCTTCGTGGGGACATTCAAACTTCTTGTCCAGTCCTTTCCTGCTCCTTCTCCGCTTCCTCGACGAGCCGGTAGCCTCGCCGCCATCTGCACCGTCGCCAGTGTTATCCCCATCGCCGTCTTCTCTATCCCGCCGGCGACCTCTATTGTCGTCACGCTCGGGGGATGCGGGTGTTGGGGGCTCTATTGCGCCGCTCGTGGTTTCCATTTTCTGGGGGAATTGTGTCTCGATCTTGCCAAAGTCCGATGCGTGCCCTCCGTGCATTGACAGAATTTGCGCCGTCATTGCAGATATGCGGGGAGCAATGTCGCGACAGGGTGAGACTAGGCGCGTCTCTGGAGAGGGAAGAAGATGGGTGAGGAGCGGTGGTCCCCGCTCGCTGTGGTGCCCAAGGTAGTGGGTACTCGCGTGTTCGATTACTGCAAAAGGCGTAGATTAATCTCGGTGTCAGTGGCGGACGTTGAGGCCTCGGAGGTCGGCGGGCATTCTACGCAGTTCGCAGTCACGGTGATGTAGTTTGGTTGGGGTGTAGTAGCACAGCAATGGAGGTAAAGGAAGACAGTGCCCGTGGGCTGGTAATGATCTGCCCGGGAAACAATGCGGAGATCACGGGACTGGAGATAGTCAGGGCAGAGTTTGGTGGGTGTGGATGTTTCACCCTGGTGGATGCTTGTGATGGTGGAGTGCTGGGCTGCCTGCTGTGTGCTGGAACTGGCGGGATGGTGGTTGGTCTGGCAGGGCGCGTGGAGGGGCGAAGGATACGATTGCTGTGTTAATCGCTCGCGGAGTGCTCCGCTGGCTGGGCTGCCAGATGACCCGCAGCAAGGCCGTCGCTCACTGGCTGCGGAGGCGGGATTTGACGAGCTGGCTGTCCGCTGGGTTTGCCGTCGGGGTATGTTTTGACTGCACCAAATTAGGAGCGCGTGGGGAGGACGCAGAGGGCGGAGGAGAATGGGGTGGGTTAGGTGGAAATGGGCGATGGCCGGTATGTGAGGTGTGAGAACGGATGGGATGCTGACCTCGAGGCCTTGGTCGGCGCCCGGGTGGGTGTGGCAGCCGGGAGCGAAGCCTGCGCCAAAGAGCCCAAGGACAGAGTGATCTCCGCCGCAGCCGCCGATAAGAGGGACCCTCGATCATCCGCCGCTAGATAGAAACCTCAACTCGAATGAAGGCGCTCAGGAAAACCTGCGAAAAGAGGGGTAGCGGTGCTGGCGGGCGACGACTCACGGCACCTCATAAGCAGCGCCCGTCCTCGCAATTAATTCGCAGGCAGGGTGGAATGCAATGCGAATATGCGCCTCGACAACACGCACTCACCCTAACTTCTGCAGCGCCCTGCACCGCGGCAGGAAACGCAGCCCTTCTGTCGCAAAGTGTGGAGAAGGCTAGGCGTGGGGGGCGTGAGAGGCGCGCGTGGGGGTGCAAGCTGGTTGTAAAGTCTTCTCGTAAAAATCCCTCCGCCGCCAAAAGCACGTCTCGCAATGGCTCGAGGGTCAATTGATATGTATCAAATCTCAGAGGCTCGTGCCTGTCTGGCGCAGGGCTGCAGTAACGTTCACTAACGCACATTTCTAACTCCGGCTCCTGCACGCAACACAACCATGCCCTCAACCATCCCTCATCCGCCAGGCCTCATCTGCAACCATGGCCTCACTGCTGACTCCCCCTTCCCACTTCCCTTTCCACGTTCGAATTCGTCCATCAATTATATTTCTTCTCTTGCTCTTCGTCGTATCCAAGAGCCGCTAGCTCCAGACTAAGGCGTGACTTCAGACTCTAGCTGCCTCTGCCTTCGACATATCTGATCCAACTTTATCCAGCAGCTCCCTGGGATCTCCCAATTTGTGTCGCCTCACCACACGAGCCTCCTTTCTCTTCCCTCTCCTCCATTGGCTTTCCTGCCAATTCTTTTTCTTCCCCTTCAAGCCTCGACCGGCCGCCGACCTGCAAGGCGTCCCGCGTCTCCAATCAGCAACTCCTTACCCCAGATCACGCATCACGCGTTCAGGTCGGACAAAGCCAAGACCGCGAGCCATTATTGTGGCGTCATGCAGACATGCGGGAAATGCAGCGGCCAACCGCAGCTCGTCGCCTAACAATTCCAGCCAATCGACGTCCCTTCAGAGGTCACTTTTATTTTTTCACGAAACTCGCCAACTTCAGATGGAGGGTCTCTCCCTGCAATTAAGTCTGCGCAGACATTCTGGCACACTTTCCAAAGCAAAAGTTGAGCAGGTGCCAGCTCGGCATACGTAGTGTCATGACCCTCGACGTCCTGGAACGGAAGAGCAAAAAAACGTTGCCCCAGGATGGTCATGCACGTCCTCATCTTGTGCCTTTGCTCGTGCACTGCACTTTTACCTCTCAGGAAGGTTTAACACCCCCAGTCACGTTGTCCCGGCATCATCAATCACTGCCACAGAAAACTCCATGTCTTCCAAGTCCCAACCTTCATCCAGAGAAAAAGTCCCTGACCCAGGGTACCGGACGCGGACGGACGAACCCATCCACCCCTCCCTGTCTTTCTGATCGATATCGGTCCAGCAAGCTGGAGCTGATACCAGTATCCGCCCAAAAATTTCCCAGCATGCCCTGCGCCCTTTTTGTTTTTCTTTTCCCGCGTTTTCCTTCTTTTTTCTCCACGTCCACATCCGTTTGAGGCTCGAAGAAAAGCGCCACCTTGCCAACAATCCCAGCAACCGACTCACCGACCAGCGCCTTCGAATCTCACAAAAGAAATCCCCCATTTGTCCCGCTAACGCATGAGTTGGCTCACAAAATGCCATGGTATCTCGGGGCCCGTAGCTTCCCATTGGTGAGGGACCTGGAGAAAGGCACCAATATGGAACTTTGCTCTTTCGTTCTCGAAGCCGGACCAGAAAGACGAATGATGCGGGATAATTTTCCAAGAAATCTGGAGATCCTGCACGTAAGAGAAAAGAAACACAAGTTTGAATTCTCGGCCATTTCCAATATTGTGGAAAGTCCGAGTGAGCACACGAGCACTCATACGTGTCACTCTGCGACTTAAGTGTTTCTTTTCGGGCTGCCTATTTAAGTTGTTTCGACGTTAGGCTTCAAGCCCAAAAAGGTTTGTCGAGAAAAGTAGTCGACTTCAGCACCTGCATTTTGTGCTTGAACCAAGCTTGTGCCTGCCGGCACTATGTCGAGACTACCTGTCACTAAACTGCATCGGTATCTCTGCATAATCCGAAACCTCGAAATATCTATATCTTGATAACGTGTGATAGCAACCAGCGGCCAGCGCCACGCTAACAAATTTAATAATCATGGATGAAAAAACATATGCTTCCAATCACAATGCCATTAACGCTGGTCAAGTTAAAATTACAAAAGCTGCACTGCTCTTTGTAGGCTGCGCCTACAGCTATTCGTCAGACCCTAGTTTCTCCCCCGGTTGATTTCCGTCACCAGCCATGTCTAGATCGACAGCAGGCTCGTCCTTCTTTGCTTTCTCCGGCTCCGCTGAGCTTGTCTCCTCCTCGGCCTTTTCCTCCGCCCTCTCTGCTGGGACGTTTTCTGTCTCGGGTGCAACCACTGGCTCATCAGGAGCTTCACTCGCCTTCTCTTCTACGGCTTCAACTTCATCTTGTTTTGTTGCGCTTCCGCTTTGCTTTTCGGTTTCTTCAGGCACTTGGGCGGTTTCTGGAGCAGGCAGAGATCCGGTTACTTCCGGGGCTTCATCGCCCTTCTCGCCTATCGTCGGTTGCTCTATTACTGTGGAGTCCTCGGCGGGGTTAGAGATCGCGCTTGGTGTCTCCACCTGAGGAAGCAGGTCTTTCGGGTCCTCTGTCGTTAACTGTTGCTCCTCTTCTTCATTCTCCTCTACAACCGTCGTCACAGCTGTAGCACCAACAGAGGGCGAGTGGCGGTGCCGTTTCGTGGTGCCAGCGGTGGAAAGCCCATGGTCGGAAACGCCTTCGATTACGGAGGTATTTTCCTGATCTTGGGGTCTCTTAAGAACCATAGGCGCAGTAACCGGGGTGGCGTCTGCCGCGGGATCAATGCCCTCCGCTTCCGAGGGAATGGTATAGTTGTCCTCTGGGATCAGCCCATAGACGTCGCATACAGTCTTGAAGAAAATATACAGCCCAGTCCGACCCTCAACCTTCCAGAACATCTCCCGGTGCTGGAACCACGCATGTGCGAAAATCCTATATACCCTCCTAAAGATGTTTGTCAGCTGGCGGATTTGCTGATGCTGGACATTTGGCTCGGCGCCCAGCGACAGCCGTGACGGGAAGGTCTTTGGCGAGGTGAGGGTATTGGCAGCATTGTCTAATGTGTGGCAGCAGTAGTCGATGGCGCAACAGGATTTTGGAGGGTCGTGGACGGCGCATAAGTATTGCCATTCTGAGGCGCGCATCTCGGGGCATGTAGCAGCAGAGCAAGCCGGAGTGTCAAAGAAGAGAGCCACTATAATTGAATTTACTTTCTGGGTGAGGAAACGACAGAGTTCGTAGAGCCACAGTGTCTTGTCGACGTTCTCTGGCGGCTGCGCAAGCTTGAGTGCCGTCTCCCTATCCACTGGTATTGTAGTATTCGTGCCGGTAGGGTGGGTGAGGAAGTTATGGAGTGCTTTTAGGTGCTCTGTCAATTGGAAGGCCGAGTCAATCTAGCCATGTAATTAGCATTGAACAGCTTCACCTTGCTTGGCCAACCGCCTCGGTGATTCCGTACCTCTGACAGGTCAACCAACGGAGGTCCTTCTGCCATATCGGCCGCCTTCGTGCCCGGTCGTATCCTCCTTGCGGCGCCATGATCTACACTCTGCCATAGCTTTTGTTGTTCTTCCGTTTGCGCGATGGGGGATTTAGGGCCAAGCTGGTCTTCGGCGATCGGGGGAGGACTAGGGAGTCGGGGAGAGCTCGAAGGGGACAGAGCTGAGGCAGCCATTACAGTCGAGTGAGTGTGGATGAGGAAAAAGTGTCGGTCTGGGGTAGTGCCAGAGATGTTGTTTGCTGCTGGCCTAAACTCGACGCCTCATAGTCGAGAATGCAGGGATTAGCACTTTTTAAGCTAGTCCAAATTGGGAATGACGTAGATTCACCACCACTTGAACATCGTGAACCACGACTCTTCCACGAATACGGAAGCCAGTTCAATATCTTCCAGGTAAGAAATCGCAGATCTTTTAAGCTATGTCTAAATCACAACCTCTCTATCTTTGCATAATTAGCTTCAAACGAAGTCCGAACTGAGCTTGCGGAGTTGAATTTTAACCTCGCCCGGGTTAACATGCGATTACTCCAATCACCTGCGCACTAGAACTTCACTACATATTTGGGGCAATTCTTTCAAAGGTCCTTCTTTTCTCCAAACTAATCTGCGTGTCTCTTAACTTCTTTATTTTTGTCCAAAGTCTGATATTTCCAACAGTGCGCTGCCGGCCCTTCGCCACTGCAAACTCCCTCTTACTTAAACAGACTTCTTTTTGCGGAGACTTACCGCGCGATAGCCAACATGCATCCTGACATGTCGGATGATGAGACCCCACCTCTTGTGCAGCCAGGACAAGAAGGTGCCAACCCTGACGTAGACGAAGAACCCCCCCAGCTAGCCTCTCTCCAAGACGATGCCGTGCCCGACCTCATTGCCGATCCTATAGAAATGACACTTGACAAAGTACCCATCACGATCGTCACCGGCTACTTAGGCGCCGGGAAAACAACATTGCTCAACTACATTCTAACCGAACAACATGGCAAGAAAATAGCGGTTATCCTCAACGAGTTTGGTGATTGTAAGCAGAGTGCTAAAACGCCCGAGCCCATGCTCAGCTTGACTGATAAAGGACGTAGCGATCGACATCGAGAAACAGCTTACGGTTTCCGACACGAATTCAACAGAAGCGAAGCCCATTCCTTTTGTTCCCCTCGCAAACGGCTGTATCTGCTGTTCCGTCAAAGATGTCGGCGTAGCGGCAATCGAAAACCTCATGGAGCAGCGAGGAAAGTTCGACTACATCCTCCTCGAAACCACCGGTCTCGCGGATCCAGGGAACATCGCTCCGCTCTTCTGGCTAGATGATGGACTCGGAAGTACCATTTTCCTAGATGGAATAGTAACTCTAGTTGATGCCAAGAACGTCATGAAAGAATTGAATGAGGGATTCGGTGATGATCCGGACAAATTAAAGGAAGAGAAAGAACATCACCACAATAGCCCACTCCTAACCACATGTCACTTGCAGATTAGCCATGCAGATGTCATACTGATAAACAAAGCCGACTTAGTCTCCACCGAGGAACTCAACAAAGTCGTGGAACGTATCCGGTCGATAAATGGACTAGCAAGGATAGAAACTACGACTAAGAGTCGGGTCTCACAGCTGGAGGGTTTACTTCTAGATCTACATGCCTACAACCAAGTCACAGATGCAGATCTAACATTCGCGAGTAAGGGACACAGTCACCTTGATCCTGTGAGTTGCGAAGTTCCCTTTGGTACTTGTTAATTTAATCATCAATTTTAGACAATATCCACTTCCACGATTACATTTCCTGCCATTGACGAAGCACATATTAAGAACTTCGACAAATTCCTACGCACTGTATTGTGGGAAGACGAGTTGCCTGAGATCAGTGCGTACGAGACTTTTGAGATACATCGGTTGAAAGGCCGAGTCCCAATCATAGGCGGCAAGGTTTTACTTGTTCAGGGAGTGAGAAATATATACGAGATCATTGACGAGAGTCCGGTCAGAAGCAAACCGACGGAAGGAGAAGGCCAGCCTAGCCACGTTGAAGCCAAACTAGTACTGATTGGAAGGAAGGTAGATCAACCAGCTTTCCGCGAAAGTCTCATGTCCACACTAGCATTACCCTCATAGACAGGTTCTGGTATAGGAAAATTCTCAACTTTAAGCACCAGGCACTCAAATCTCATTCTGTATAAAGAGAACCTTGGTTTCCTTGATTTCAACACGCAATCTCATTCTTTCAAACCAATATATTCTCCTTCTCCGTCTCCAGCCTAACAGCCTGCTCATTACTCTTCTTCGCCTTCTCCACACTTCTCGTACTGAGCGCACTCGCAATTGCACAAACCCCAAACGCAATTGCTACCAAATACACCAGCCTAAACGCACCCACATACGACGTCTTAACAGCTAACATAGCCGCCTGCATAGTCTCCGGAGTAATCCCCGGAACCTTCGCATACGTCGCTTGAGTATTTGCCGCGGTCGCCTTCAGCAAAGCCTGGAAGGACCCAGTGTATCCGGTGTCCTGCGTCAAACGGTGAAGGATAGGTGTGATGTTAGACTGGTATCGCGATGTGTAAATGGATACGTAGATACTGGTTGCGACGGCGCCGCCGATAAGGCGGAATGTTGAGATTAGACCCACTGCGACGCCGATGTCACTCTGGTCATCCAGGCCTAGACTAACCATTCCGAAACTCAAGGGGCTTGGGGGTAGGTTGCACGCGGCCACGATTACGACCGTAGCAATCGCTTGGGCTTTGTCGTTGATACCGATGCTTGCCATGGATCCGATTAGGGCTGTTTGAGCGCAGATGAGCGTAACGAGCTGCCACCGTTCGTGTCCCACCCAAGGCATTACTAGGACGCAATACCAACCAGCGATTATAGTGCCAAATGACACCATATTGGCGTAGACGCCACGAATGATTGTGTCGCCTGCGGGAACGAAGAGAAGGGACGATTGCCGCGGCCAAAGTACGTTCATGCTATAGTAGAGCATGCCGGCTACGAAGCAGACAACAAGAAGAGCGGTGAACCTAAAAGCGATTAGCTAGAAACATGGCCGAGGAGAGAAGACTAACTCTCGCCATTTAACAAACAGCTTTGGGGGTAGAATGGGATATTTGAGGTTTGCGTAAACTTCCCAGAATCCGAGCACTATGAAGCATGCAAATGCTATCACAATGGGTGCCACGACATGCGCGCTTGACCAGGGGTACGTTACACCTCCCTGTTGTATCGTTAGGATTCGATCTATGCTTGCTTTTCATAATTTGTGGACTTGCCCAATTCAAACCCAAGAGCAAGAGTAAGCATCCTGCTGTAAACAACCACAGTCCCATATGATCCAATTCCTTCACCAGCTGCCATTTCGTCTTATAATCGTCCTCATGTTTCGTCTCAAAACTAGGCGGCATGTAGAACAGCCACAACATAATCGCCGTCGCACTCTCAAACGCAAAGCAAAACCAATAGCACGCTCTCCACCCAATACTCGTATAGGTAATAAACGCATATCCAATCAGCGGTCCAAAACTACTGACATGGTTTGCGAGAATCATAATGCCGAGTGTAGCAAAGCGGTACCGGTTCGGAACGAGTTCTTGAGCACAAGCGAAACACATTTCTTGGAAGCCGCCGCCAAAACCGAAGAGCACACCAGAAACAATCATTTGGTTTATGGATTGTCCGGTTGCGCCGACGAGGGCGCCGACTGCGGCTGACACCGCGCCTGTTAGGAGAAACCATCGACGGCCAAAGATGTCGGCGAGACGACCGCCTACGGTGACGATGATAGCAGCTCCGAGGTTCCAGCACACTGTTATCCAGGGATATTTGGGGTCTGGGCCAAGATCGGCATTGATATAGGCGAGGATGGCGGCTGGCATGATGAGGGTGAAAAGGTAGGATTCGTACATCATGATTAGAGACTAGAAAGACATCATTTCTTGCCTGATTGAGTGAGAATGAATTGGGAGCCCACCAGGATGGCCATCTTAGTCTTGAAGGAGATCTTTGGTCGAGGTCCCCCGCCTGGAGACACATGTGATGAGCTTTCTGTGCCGATCTGCTCCAGAGACTTCTCAACAGCTTCCACCGCTTGCCCCTGGACCTTCTCTTCCTCTAGGATAGACATGTAAGCAAATATCTTTGATGCCGATGACCTCGCAGGACGCTCATTCAAAAGGCCCCAAAAATTGCACAAATATGCAAGGGTCCTGACAATCCAAAAAAACCAATTTTCATGCAAGTCAGTCGATTCGAAACCGGGCCCACGGATCAGTGGCCTGCATCCAAGATATATCGCGATGGTTGTCGTCGCTCATCTCCGCAGGATTCCTGAAAGCTCGGCAATGGTCGCACAACCTCCGCCTTATCCATGTCACTTGCATTTGTGGAGAAGCGCAGTACTGTGCAGGGCTGAACCCCGCGCGGGGAAACATGGAAAAGCTCAATGGTTATGAATGGAAAAGCGACTCCGAGGACGGGGATGATTCATTAGCGTGATGTGGAGTAATCATTGACTTAGAGATGCTCAGATTTAAAGAATTCAAAATTATCCTTAAATCAGATTTAATATTGCTGTTAAGCACTAGAGTTAGAGCTGCTAAAGAGAAGCAGTTCTCAAAAGGCAATCCGGATTTGGGGACCTGGGAAGATATTAGTCTCGTAAGTTACTCATTATGCAACATTGATTGATCTATATAGTCCTCATTGAACTTGAACTTTAGTGACAACAAGTAACTTCATTGTTAATATAACGGATCAACCCCATCTACGCCCGCAGCCATTTTTATTCCCCATTCGAGCGGAAGAAGTGCAGCCCATGTCAATTCTTCGTTTTCTATAGGAACATTTCTCCTAGATAATACCATGTTATATTCAAGCAGCCAGTCCCCTTCCAAATTTTGCAAAGCCTATTACTCGAAGAATAGAGCTTCTACATCGCGAAGGTCCTTATATTCCCCCCTTCCCCGTCACATCTTCTCTTTAAAACTGAACACCCGTGACAAGTCCGCAAAGGTGGGCTCCATAAGCCTTTATCCGCGTTGTGCTCCACTTCTTTATTTTCGTTATGGAGGGCTTAGTTTTCTCCATTTGCATATCAATCTCCTAAACAGACAGCTAAGTTCCTCTTATAGAGCCACTTTGTCCCAATTTAAACTTTCCGCTGTGGTGATTGGTCGCACCGCTGTCGTTCTCGGGGAGCGCAGGCTGCACGCGCTGGAGAATCAGTGTTCAGGATCGACAGGTGGAGCACCTGCAGGTAGCCCACCTGCAGATTTTCAGGTGCAGGTCGTGCCTGAGACTCAATGCTATACCTAACCAAGTCAATAAACAACCCAATTAGGTAATGTGGTTGAGGGAGACGCTGTCGAATTAGTGTACCGCTGCCGTATTAGTGTAACAGGAGGCCATAAGAAGCGTTAACAACTTCATTAGGCAATTTTAAGGTACTATAAAGCTAATTTGTCAGTTACCTTAGGTATAGAAGGGGCAATCTGACAATAAGGAATATCTAGACTACTCTATACAGTAAACTCACCCTTCAAAAATTGCACCCGCAGGCACCTGAGAATCTGCAGGTTAGCCACCTGCCACCTGTTGATTCCGAACACTGTCATCTAGAATCTGTATAATTTCTAAACAGCAGATAAAATGTACGCAGCACTCACATGGTCTGCACGGAGCAACACGATAGCAGTCTTAATCGAATGCAACAATGCTACAGCGCAGTAGCAGCTTCGCAGCAGTCCTATGGTGCCAAAAACCAGGATATCTGCGCATAGATCTCGTCTATGGAGGGTACACAGTAGAAATGGGTAGATCCTTATACAGATCCGATATTACTAAACGATAACTACATGTCTAGTTAATTAAACAGATTACCATTTAATGGTTATGTGTGCGGGTCAATGCATGAAATTAAATGTCTCCCCAAGGCGAATATACCATGCTAAGTCGGTGCCCCGCTGAAATCCTACGCGTGTATATATCTTAGCCCAAATAGTCATACTTGCGTATCAGTTCTTTAACTTTTCCAGTCCAAGTACCAGACTCCATGGCCACCATATCAACCCTTTTCCCGTCCATAGTCTTCATACCTTTCATGAAACTCGAGTGCGTGAGGACTGCTTCTAGCAATCTCTCGTCCCCGATTTTTGCGGCGTAATGAACAGCTGCCCAACCATCTTTGCTGATGATATCTCCTACGTCATCAAGCTCGAGCATTATCAAAGCGCATTCAATGCTGGAGTTACAGAAAGCTTCTATGAGAGGGCTGTTGCCGCTGAGATCGTTTGCAGTAGCTATGTTGGTGTCCCCAGCTTCGCATAATAACAGCTTCAGCGATTCCTTTTCGTCTTGTATACAAGCGTGGTGGATGATATTTTTGCCAGACTCGTCGGTCAAGTCTAGACGAGCTCCATTCTGGAGAAGTATCTCGATGCACTCTTGGTCGTCGAGGAAATCGAATATCGGAGGCCGACCGTCGGCGTCCTGAATGTTGATGTGTTTTTTGCTCTTTGAATTGCACAAGAGTGAGACGATATCTCTCCTGTCCAGGCTTCGTCCAGAAAGTCCAGCGCAATGAAGAGGAACCTGGCCATCCTCTTGTTGCGCATCAGTGTCGGCCCCAGCCTCCAGTAGAAGCGATACGCAAGCGGCAGAGCACCAGGAGGCAACGTGTAATGGTGTCTCGGCCCATCTGTTAGTTTGGTTGATATTTAGCTGGTCCGGGCAACGTCTCCAAATATCAAGAGCACCTGCCAAGCCTCTGCCAATTTTTGACTCGGCCGCCGCATGTAGTATGTTCGCGTCCAAGTTTGACAGTAGTGTCGGATCTGCTCCAAACTGTACCAAGACCCGCATTTTTTCCACGTGACCTGCAGCAGAAGCCCAATGGAGAGGTGTCCAGCTGTATTTCTTATCCCTCTGGTCAACGAGATTATGGATGATTTTGGTTCCTTCTGGTTGACCGAATGCCGAGGCCCGGAAGTATTCAATTATGGCAGAGAACAAAGGTGATCGCTTCTTATATCTTAATTTCCATTCTGACCAGCTCGTGTTTACGGGTGCGTTGTTGGCATCATCGACTAGCTGAATAAGCCTATAATCGAATCAGACGAATGGTGAATACGCATTAGTTTCCGAAAAGATCGCAGGGACCATAGATATGGGACAACATGATATGTGCTGGAACTTACGACTCAAGAGAAGGGCGTTCAGAGTCTGAAGCAGAATAGAGTTCGAGAACAGCGATATGGATGGGAGTAAAATCAAAATCGCTTAAGAAACCATCCTTTTGCGAGAATACTTCGACGATATCGTGCTCTACCTGAGTTGCGTCCTGACCAATTGATTTGAGAATGGCAAGATCGGCCGGCTTCCTAGTGGTGATCCATGTGTCAATACAGCCTGGAGCGCTTATGTCGAGTGACTAACCTTGATCCGACATCTCCGCTCTCGGTGTCAACACCTAACTCAATGAGGTATTTCACAATTGGTAGTTGTCGATTGTACGCAGCTGTCTATATATGTATTAGCCTACCTCCTTTAATCCTCCTTTATGCTTACATGGAGCAATGACCATCCATCTGGGGCAGTGTCCCAGATTGTTGCCTGGCCGGACTCGATGCAAGCTTTTAGCTTCCCTAAATTCCCGTGCTTCACATACCGCATTGCTTCTGAGCCTTCTGGAACCATGCGATATGTCTTCAATTCATGGCGAACATTTATGCTTTTCGAGAAGATGGCCTTGCTTAGAGTTTTGAGGAAGGACTTCGACTGGATGGCGTACTTTTCTTCTACTGTTGCATTGGATAGACAATCCGGCACGCTGCAACGCACCTTAGCATTTGCACGTTTCCCAAGGCCTTGGCGAAGCTTGGTAACATCTTGGGTATGGCATATGCAATAGCAGTTGTAGCGACACGCTTGGCGGACCACTAAGATTTCTTGAGAATCGCCCAGCTCGGGCCTTGTATTTACCTGACATAGCCCCTCGTTAGTTTCCTGACTAGTGTTCGAGGGAATCTCGGACGACTGGCGCGAGAAGATGTTAGAGCTCCCTGAGCTTGAGGATGAGCTAACGAGTGTTAGCGAATCGAAGGATGAAATCATCGTGTCCGCAAGGCTTTCAATCGTGGCTAATGAGCTAGCATTTGAAATTCGCCGCGATCGATACGTTGTCGCTGGAACTTGTAGATTGGTCGATGCCGTAGCCTTGTCGTCCACAGCTGCGGTATTATCAACCGCAGAGCCTCGCAACATGTATTGCGGGTACTGGCAAGCAACTGATAGGAAAGTCTCTCTATGTACAAGATCAGTACACTTTCAGAAGCTCTCCGAGAGGGGAAATTCTTACGCGTGAGTGATGGCGAGGAATGTTTGAAGCATCGAGTGCTGCTCCTTTATCCGGTCGTGTAGCCTTTTGATCCCGGACGTATTCTGGACCCATTTCATTCGGCGGACGGCTGAGACCTTGGAGTTTAGTGATTGTTCCAAACGATCCTCGAGATCTTTGATGGTATTAAATGAATTTTGGAGCATGCTGTCCATGACCGGTCCGGATATTCTGTGAATGGTTTGCCGACTCCGTAGGACACGTTCGAATCCGCTCAAGGCTTCTGTGAAAACAGATATATCTTCAAGCAACTTCTGTAGGTCTTTGTCGCCATCTCTAAAGGTGTTGATAACCTCTATCACCGATTTGCTCGCATGAATCAGATTGGTGAGCGAGGCAAGCAAGCTAATGATAGTGATAGGATCCATTTAGGAGATGTCATGTCCAAAGATGTTCGCAGTAGGTTATTCTTTACGCAGGAGGAGCTCTAACAACTGCTGTACTTTGGGTGTGGTGGGCCGGCATGGTGCAGGGTTCCACTCCTCGTGGCAGGAGCGGTCTGCGGAAAGGGGAAGATGGGGAGCGGGACGGGACGCTTCTTCGTTCACAACGGCCCCAAGGTCCCAGGCTCCGGACAAGCATTAATTATGAGACATGTAACCCTAACAGGCGCCTGTTGGCCATCCCAGCTCTTCGGTTTACCCCTGCCTTAGGCGCACAGGAGCTGTTCGAGGATCCACCCTCGGACTACAAGCATGCATGAAACGCCAAGAAAAAGTAGATGATGCAATGCGGCACTCGCTCTGCACCTATGGCAATTAGCCCATCAAAAGCTGAAGCAGCATTCGATACATGTCCGATTCGACCTTATTTCTAGCGCCAATATAAGCGCCCCAAGACTCCATCCTCTGTTCTATGAGGCCTCGGGAGTGCGCGGGCTTGCATCTTCTAGCCGCTTGTCTGAGCCGCGCCGTTCGCCAATCCCGTTTGCTAAAGATAGTGGCCTCAGGTCATTCAGAACTGCCCGTGCGCGGCTCATGTTGCAAGCAAAGCAACAGCCTTATCCTCTTTAAAATATGATGAAAACGTAGCCTTCCCTTCGGTTTGCCGTAGGAAAGAGTATTTGCCCTTCATTGGTCTGCCTCGCCCAACAGCATGGGTAATTTCTCTGAAAAAGCCGACTTTCCGGACTCCAACTCGCTCGACCTCGCACTTCGCCATCCTACTCCAGATGAATGCGTTATCATCTGGACCAACACCTTTGAGTCATGGGGTGATTCTCTCCCACTACCAGAGTATCTCAATGAATCTCTCTTCTTGACTACTGTCCCTTTGGCAAAAGATGAGGGAATGAGTAACTGGATTCTTGTTGACAAAAACCTTCCTCCAAACCAACGGCCCATTCTGTGTTCTTGTGAAACTTTCCGCAAGCATTCCTTGACAAGCAACGCGGTTGGCAATGTCGATGATAACATTGTCCACGGAATTGCCAGCGTCTTCTGCGCTCCAGGATATCGGCGCCGCGGTTACCCAGTGCGTATGATGAAGGAACTAGCTAAGACTCTTCCTACGTGGCAGCTCGATGCTTCTCGATGTGTAGGGAGCATACTGTACTCGGATATTGGAAAGGAATACTACGGAAACCTTGGATGGCACCCAAATCCCACAAACTCGCATTTGACGTTCGAACCGCGCATAGCTCCGAAGCTGTCCCTTGGTCAAGAAATCGTGGAAGGAGACCTCGCGGAGCTCTGTAAGCGAGACGAAATAATGGTCCGTAAGGCCATGGCAACACCGACAAACGATGTCAAGATGCGTGTGACAATTGTTCCCGATCTAGATCACATGCTTTGGCACATCCGGAAGGAGGACTTCGCTTCGAGATATCTCTTCGGAAAGGTACCTCCAGCAAAAGGAGCGATTGCAGGATCGCCGGGTAACCAAGTGTGGGCGATTTGGACGCATCGATATTATGGACCATTAGATGCCGAGCCTCGGAACAACGTGCTCTACATCTTACGTCTCGTCGTCGAAGCGGATGAGACAGCCACCCGGCTCCCATTGGATGCGGAGAAGAAGTTCAAAGGAGCAAGATACGACGAGCAGGTGGCCTATTTGAAAGCTGTTCTGCAAGCTGCGCAAGCTGAGGCTGCAGAGTGGAAGCTTGACCATGTCAAGCTCTGGGATCCAACACCCTTGGTCCAGGACATGATCATGCAAAGTGGAATCGACCACGTTGTCGTAGAACGTGAGGAAGATAGTATCGCTAGTGGGATGTGGTACGGAGAGAATGGCCAAGGAAGTGTTGCGCCATTATGGGTCAATAACGAGCATTATGCATGGTTGTGACCAACGAAGGCTATTAGAAAAAGCTTACAGAGAACTAAGCTGTGCTACTCTTAGCCGCTTGACTTACATGTAAGGATGTAATGTGTTTAGATAAAATATTACTTTTGTCGTTCGTCCCATGCTTGGAAGATGAAGGGGAGCCCCGTAGCTAACATAGCCGCTGAAGCACACGCCGCAGCCCAAAATATGCGGGCGTGTGGCATTTAGCAGGCACGGCGCTTAAACTTAAAGTAAGCCGTATCCGTACCCTTTAAGATTTAATTTGTAACTATCTACCCTAGCCGGACTAGTTCTTCGGCTACGCTAGCCTTAGAAAGCCATCCGTACTTGTATTCTTTGTTAAGTTACAGGTTTTCAGCTGCGTATTTCTAGCCGCTCCTTAAAATACGAATCCTCGCCGAACGATTCAAAGTTCACCAGCTGCGAAGTTTGAGAACTGCCTGCAGAAGGACTACAAAAACTCTATCAATCTAAATTTAACCCTTTCGTTCCCCGTGAGCTGAATCATGAAGTCCTTCACCTCTACTCGTTGCTAAAGTCTTTTCTGCCCTTCAATGCCGCTTGCACTTTCAGTCGCCCTTCCGGCCGACTCGGGCCGTATCGCAGAGATTCACATGGCAGCTTTCGGCCCGAACGCCATGTTGCGTGCGCAATTCCCGACTCCAGCTGTCCGAGATGCGCTTCAACGCTCAATTGAATCGAAGGCACTCGCGGATATCCTGGACCCAAAGACCACCGTACTTGTCGTGCGCGATCTGGATCAGGCAGCTCCAGGTGGCAAAGACCAAAGCGACCAATCCACCGACGTGCGCTTTACTGGGGATGAGCATGACGAGGACGCATGCAAGAAGGGTACAATCATTAGCTTTGCGAAGTGGGCTCATCCAGTCGCAGAAGATGAGGAATACGAAGAACCACCGTGGCATTGGCCAGAGGGAACAGCACTTGAGGTCTTGAATGAATGGACAAAACAGATGGAGGAAGCACAAGAGAAAGTCGTGGGATCAACTCCATGCTATCGTAAGTACACTTTTGCTGAGCCTAAGCTTACTGTTGCCGATCACGTCTATCTTTAGGTTAACCCAATGCTAGGTCTTAACTTTATGGGCACAGATCCTGTTCACGAGAGACGTGGCGCAGCCTCAATGATGCTTCGATGGGGTCTCGAACAATGTAGGAAGCACAATGCGCCGGCGTATCTTGAATCTACCATCGAAGCCGCACCCTTCTACGAGAAAAATGGCTTCATCGCTATAGAGACGCTCTCCCTTAAGTTGCAGGATTCATACGGTTGTGTCGAAACGTACAAAGAGATTGGGTTCCTTTATAGACCGCAAAAGGCATAGAGGCAACAATGAACCAAAGTACCTGTGAGAGGATGACGTTCTCAAAGAGTCGGCGTGTTTTAGGGTAAGAGTAACCTTCCCTCCAGTGCTACCGGTCACCCTATGTTCCAGAATAAAGTTAGAGGTACTTTGATCGTTGAATAACCCAGAAGCTGCACACACTTCAATATTTATGTTATGCTACAATCCATGTGCCTTCATCAAGTTCCTAATATTTCACGACACTCCTCACCTAAAAATTACACTAGTACGATTGTCTTGTCCCTCGAATTTGCGCACTGTGCTGTTTGAAGCCTCGACCAAGATTCTTCAAGATAATATCACCAACCCCATCGTACTACTATTTCAGACTATAAACAGGTAGATTGGAGTATCCAATACTCTATATAATACTTTCAGGCTATTGTTACTACCTAGGTGGTAGAGGAGGCAAATTCACTGTAGAGGGCGTACTTAGCAAAAGTTTAAGTGCATTTAGTATTGCGCATTCACGTGACTTAATATGGCTATATAATTACATGATAATCGAATTGTAAGTTAATATTAGCAGGAAGTTTTTTACACATTGCCCATTCCTAACCGTCAGTGCTTTAGGCTCTCCTTGAAGCCAACGTAATCGGCCACAACTCATCACCCACCATATTGACTATTTCGACCGTCTTTCCTTATTCCTATTTCTTCAACCAGAAAGAATCAGTCAGATAATGGTTCCATTCGAATTCTCAGTCAGTGACTTCCTTACTGTTAGAAAACTTGTCGCAGATATCATCTCATATCTGCGAGATGCCACCGGTTTAACGCAGAAATATCAGTACCTTGAACACGAACTGAAACTACTAAAGAGTATTCTTAAAGAGGTATCACTCATTACTGGTCCAAATGAACTTTAACATATGGCAAATTCGACCAAGGCCACAGCACTATCCTGTCAGACTCCACTCAACCGATTTCTACGGATTGCGAGGAAGTATGATGCCAGCCATGGAGCTGATAAATCAGCGGATTCTTGAGGCAGAGAAGAATATAAGATGGGAATTCAGCATGAAAGTACACATTAAAACACTTAGGGCGGAAGTCGACGCCCATACACGCGCGACAACGATGTTATTAGGATTCTATCATATGTTTGCTGTCTTAGTAATAAACGGCTAGGAGCCCTGCTTACTATTGTTAGCAAGTATTCTTCGTACTTTGAAAGGGTCAGCAAATATCAAAGCGTCAAGATTGGAAACAGCATTGAAGCCGCAAACGCCAGTCTCGCTACCATCCAGGAAAGGGTGGAAGTTTCAAACACAAATCTAGGAAAGGTCGAGAAACAGGTGCAGACCCAAAGCAAATTAATTCTTTCTGACGTAGTACCGAAAATTCGAGCAATCTTTGAACGAATGGAACTCGTCTCAGATCTACACAACATGCTCTTTAAACTCCAATCTACTATCCCACCCCCTGACCTCTGCCATACATTCTTTCAGAGCCCAGTGATTCTAGACGACTCATTTGATCGTAAAATGCCGGTACCGTCAGAATAAGATTTCGACGTGAGTCACAACAGAAATTATTTGCAATACATCTTTCCGGGAGGTGGTATAAGTCGCTCTTTCCACTCAATGATTCTGACGCATAACGGCTTCTAGAAACAATCATCCACGCCAAGTTCAGAGAGGAGCAAGGATCCCAATACATTATGTCTAGGCAGGATGAATTATTCAATACTAGAAACTCCGAGCAAATAGTCACAAGATCAAGCTTTACCGGAAAACCTCTCCCACCTGGTATGGACGTAAATATGTCAATACTTATGGAGGATGAAGAGTTGGAAGATCTAGACATGAGCCCTCAAGGGAAATGGCTGTTTCTGGACTTCGATGATTGCCCCGGGCCTGGTTGCGAATTATGTGACTTCGCGAAAGATTATGGTGGAGAAATTGTTTGGTGAAATAGTATCTTTAAGTGGTTATTGCTCGAGTGTACTGATGCACATTTAGCCAGCGCTGTGGTCTCTCGTTTAAGAAACGATACGCTTGGCTCCCTTGGTCGATCCCATCCGTAAGAGAGTCAAAACTAGGAATCGCCTCATTGACAGCATCAATACTCTGCATCTGGAATACATTGGAGAAGCTGGAGAAGCTGGAGAAGGATGATTCTTTGTTCATGATCAACGAGAGCAATGATATTGACGTTGAACGCGTGACTCATGAAATTCACAGCTTCAAAAACATACACAGTATACCATGTGGTAGACAAGTCATTTCTCTCCCCCAGTAGTTTAGTTGTACCTAAAATGGGACCAAGAATCGAGCCTAAAGAACAGAAAGCAGTTGACGAATCAAACATGATCGAATGTCAGGATACTGTCAAAATTTCCGGCAACATCAACAGTGGAGCTGGATATCACAAAAGTGGGGCGCAATTCAAGTCTGCTAACGAAACCCTGTCCAAAGGTGTTTCGGGTCTTGCACAAACTAATCTACTAGAAGAGGACAAACAGGTGACAAGGGTAAAACTTAATGTCATAGACAAGAGACTGAGATTGGGGACACTCCTCGAACAGCTACACAGGCTCGAACGCAGAATCGAATAACATACAACAACGATCTATGAAATCTCGGCAGCAGAAGAAGGTGACTGGGGCAATGAGGAATGTGACCTTCAAAGCGCTGATCAGAGAGATACGACAGATCTTGATTGGGGTGAGGGGGCAGATGACATTCGCGGAGTCGATCCGTTAGGTTGGGGTGAATCTGAAGGGGCTGTTACTTCTACAGCTTGGGGTATCGCTTCGTGCCAAGATAATGAATGCAAGTGGTGATTTTTCTGTCACAGTTTGTCCTCGTACCTTACCATGTACCTATAGCCAGGCTATTCTCGTGTGTACGCCTTTCTTCCCGGTGCAAGATTCGTTAGAACCCGCCCCGGAATTACTAGCCTCATAACTATGAGAGATGTTGATATGACAGCCTATGCTCTAGACTTAATCGGATAAAGGCCTTCACATAGGACGGCACTGGCGGGATCCATTCTACAAAAGGGGGGTGATGGTAAACGGAAGTGAATGACGAGCTGCGCTTGACAACAGGCCCTAGGGCAATACCATGGATATTTCTGCAATCCTACCGTCATGTGATTTCTGCGTAAGAAATCGGAGTTATACGAAAAGTTAACGACATAACGAAGTCACGTCTTAGCAAATACTGTACTAGGAGTTGCCTCCCTCTCGGCCAGACTACTGGAATTCCAGTTACCGAGATCTGATTGTTAAGGAAGCCTAATATATTATCCAATACTGAAAGGGCTTTCGCATTATAGTCCCGAAATTCGAAGAAACCCCAATATTCGTCGTGTAGCACGAGAGTAAAGCTGCAGCACGTCTCCGTCCGATGAGAGAACCGACCGAGGAGACAGTCCAGTCACACATAATCTATTATGACAACAAAGAGTCATTTTCAAGCAGAAAGGGAAGGAGTGGGATATAAGATGTAGGTAGGTTTAAGTGTCTCCAGCACGGCATACGATCCTGCTTTGATTTGATTTCACTGACGCTTATGCAGCTCAACAATAATCCTCACCTCAAGGCGACTTTTTGCCTGCACCTTTTTTAACATGCACCTTTTGTCCACAACCATACCATGCCGCACTACGGATCGTACGCGGAGGTTGAAAAGCACATTAAGTTTGCCATTGCGCAGATTTCTTATAACGAAAACCTAGAGTCGCTGCGCTGGCGCGTGAGTCCAATATGCCGCACCAGTGCCTCCTCGTAGAGCTAAGCTCTGCTTGATGCGTTGAGCGGCGTAGGTGCTTTGGAGGGAGAATGGAATTCGCGAGGATGATAATGAGACGGTTTTGAGGACGAAAATAAAGAGATCAGTGATCGATGGGCGATTTGGAGGATGTGGATATAGTTGGTGATTAGGCAGAGGTCCGCATCATCTTAACACGATGATGAGCACTATGTAGCGAGACTATTATTGCAGCCAAGACGGCCTCGAGGTTTTATCCAATATATACAAACGAAGCAACAAGACTTGTCGTGGAAACCCAAGTGTTCTCCAGATCTCATCAAAACATCACCATCACGGCTCCCAACAGTCCTAGTCCCCAGACACTCCTGCTCATCACGTTAGCAACTGCAGCGCCTGTCGAGCTTGCAGCCGCAGATGCTGTGTTTGAGGCGGTGGCCGTCGGCTTCTGTGTGCTGGATGGAGATGCAGATGCGGTTGCATTTAATTCCTCGAGCGGCTTCATAACGCTATCTAGGACGTGCATGAGGCCGTTATGAGTCCTGTCAATAGTCAGCTCAAATCTTAACACCTCTGGGTAGAAAGCAGGGAGGTGAGCGAAGCGGGAGAGAAACGAAAGGGAGCGACATACAAAACGTTAGCATCCACAACCTTTGCGTTATTAAACCAAATCTGCCTCTCACTCCCCTCACCCTCAACCTTCACCCTGACCGTCATATTCTGTAAACTCTTAAACTCCTGCCCATCACTCAAGTAATCACTATACGCCACCTCCGGCAACGTATGAAACAAAATGGCGCCCGTCAAATCCGTGGTATTCAGCGTCGAATCTGCATTCCCTGCAGACTTGAACGCCTCATTATTCGGCCCCAAACACGTCAGATTCGCAGTCCCGTCGAGTGCGCCCCAAAGGCTCGTGCGGTTGAGTGCGTTGTCCAGGGATGAGAGTCCTGCACCGCGGATGGTGGTGGCGCAGAGGTCTGGTGGGGTCAAGAGTCCGTCAATGATGTGAAATTTGCCGCCTTTCCAAGTGTTTTCGCTGTCGTCAAGCGCGGTCATGTTGACGGAGGATGAGAGACCAGAGCGGACGGATTCGGTGGATCCGCCTGCTTGGCGAGAAAGCCGGAATTTGGAGGTTGAGCCTGAGGTCTGTTTTATGAAAACGACTTGGCCGGATGATCGTTCGGCGCCACCGTATTTTGCGGCCATTGAGGTTCCGACGGAGCGGTTGTTGTATTGTTTGTCGACTAGCAGCGTGGGAGTCGTGGCTCCGGACCCGCTTGTGAAATTGTCTTTATTCAAACTGCTGACAAGGGTGTGGTACTGAACGAGAGGGAGAAGGGCCTGGGGTGATGCGTCGGTGAGGGAGATGCCATATTTCTCCTGGTATGCGGCGAAGGCCTTGTTGTTGGGAACGAGAACAGTGATTGGGTAGAGAGACTCATTTCCGAAGAGCGCATTTGCGAAAGCTTCGTTGGCGGAGTAGAAAGCGGTAAAGTTGGAGAGTTCGGTGATATGGGAGATCGCCTCGAGGAGGGATTGAGCGTTTGTGCTGACCGCAGTGGCTAGTAGAAGGACTGTGGAAAGATGCATCATGGCAATGGAAAGATAACAATATTGAAGGAAAGAAGAAGAGGTAGAGTAGAATAGAAGGGAGAAAGCAATTGACTCTTGTGCAGAGCAAGAAACGGGGTTTCTAAGAAATCGTCAAGGAGAGGAATCTTACGAAGGACGCTTAGAGGAGAGTAATTATAAATAAGCCGTCAATGCCACTCAGCCACAGCCAGCCCGATTTCAGCCAGCTGAATTTATCTAACGCCTGTTTGGATGTTTCATTGCGGAGCAAACATCGTATCCCATGCTCGGAATGTTCAGCTCGCTACAACGTGCAGACTAGGCAAAACGCCACAGAAACGCCATACGAAAATGACATTTTGCATTGGTCAAGGGAGAACTTAGAATGCACAAGGTGAAAGAAAACTCTTGGGACAACGCTGATAGCAGATCTAAAATGATGGCTTGGCTGGGCTTGGAATGTTGAGCTTTCAGCTGCGGGGTGGGAAGGCAGGCTGAAGTGAATGAAGAGGAAGAAAGCTGGTGCTGATGATTACGCTTGGCGGAGCATTTCCTACAAGCTTAAAATAAGCTAACCCTTATCCGGATCCGCCAATCTGATATCGCGTAATATGCAAGGCGAAGCCATCTTGAAGACGCGGAAGGAATTCTCTGACCAAAGAACCCTCCCATCCTCGAAACCATACCTAGATCGGATTCGTCAAAAACTGCCCATCTTCATCTAACCCCTCCTTCGCCTTCTCCCACTCCTTCCTAACAATCTCCGCTCTCTTCTCACTCCTCGGTGTAATCTCAGCCTCAAATTGCACCGGCATAGCAAGAAAGCCCTCCACAAAGACATCCTGCTTTGGCATCTTCACATTCCCCTCACTATCCTTCTTCGGCTTGATATCAAAAGCCCATAACATTCGCGACATTGCGAGATACATGCTACGATCTGCGACGTGGGTTCCAGGACATACACGTCTGCCAGAACCGAAGCCGAAGTGGTCACGTTGAGAGACATCCGAGCAGGCGGCGCTGTCAGCCGAGTTGAGTTCGTCGCCGAAATATCTCTCTGGCACAAAAGTTTCAGGATTGGGGTAACGGTTTGGATCGCGATGAATGGCCCAGACATTCGTCATGAGGCTTGCACCTTTGGGGATTCGGTAGCCCATGTAGTTGTCTTCCTCAGTGACGGCGTGCGGTACAGCGCCAAGGATAGTTGTTGGCATCCAACGGTGAGTTTCTTTAATGCAGGCGCGGATATAGGGTAATTTTGGCATGTCCTCGAGAGTAGGCAAACGGTCGTCACCGACTTGAGCGTCGATTTCGGCCTGGACCCTGCGTTGGACCTCTGGGTACAGGAGCATTGCCTGAGCAAAGCCATACAGCTCTGATGATGTCGTGTCGCTACCGGCCTCAAGGAAAGAGCCGGAAATGTACGACGCGAAATCGTCACTGTATCCCTCTTCTTTCTGGTTCTCTACGATATCGACGCAAGCACATGGACGAACTGAAGGGAGTTTGTTAATGATCGCATTCTTCGCTGTCAGCCAGTATTCGAGAAAATTCTCCTTCTCGACTTTGTGATGTTCTTTTGCCTCACGTTTGATGGGTGCGAGCCAATCAGGAATCTGTCGAAGAATTGGGTAGAAGTCGATAATGGCTGCATGACCTTGCGAGTTGATGCGCGAAAAGTTGTCAAGGATATGGAACATCTTCTGGAGACGTGGGTCGTTGAAATGTTTCCATCGAAAGCTAGTGGTGTAAGTCTTGACGTATCTTTGGTGTCGAGAGGCACATATACCCAAACACCATGCTGGTGGTCAGAGAGGACGAATAGCGTCGAAAGTGCTCCAATAAGTCTGCCGGCTTTTCCATCATATCATATAGCATCTGCTTGTTCTCTATCTCCTGATATGGGACGTAGGTGACGGCCTTGTTGATATGGAGCGCAGTATGAGCGAGCTTACGGATCTGGAATAGGTTAGAAATTTCACTTTAGGTTTAGGGCAGATACTTGCCATTCTCCATGTTGGCCCGTAAGGCTGCGAATGTCATTAGTCACAGAGTAGGGAAATATAGGCAAGCGCAAACCGTCATCAAAACCCGATGTCCACCACTAACGAGTGTTTGCCCAATATACATGTCCGGCCGCGAGCTATATATGGCACTCTTCTTATCGAGTAAATCCTTGACCGCTTGGTCTTTGGACAAGACGATCATGACCTTCGTCCCGAGGATCAAAGAGTACACAGGGCCATATTCCTTTGCCCACTGCATGAACTGGATATGCGGGTCTTTGGTGGGAATCTTTGAGACATCAGATTCGACACCTAGTGTAGATTCAATTGAGACTGACCTGATGTAAGTTGCCTATAATGGGCATTGTGGGTGGACCTGGTGGGAGGCCTTTCGGTCGTCGACCGACCTGGAAGAGGCGGTATAACGACCATATTAGGACGCCACCAGCAACAACGAAGAGGAGGTTCACCATGTCTGATCAAGTGATGGAGAGTGCAGCAGAGGGAATGAGCGAAAAGCAACGGAAATGACAAGAGACGCTGCCTTTTCTATGAGTACCTTTCATCGATGCTGTCTTACATTCTGAGGTGGGCCCGACTTTCTAGCCATCGAATCACTTCAAACCCCGTGGTCTCATCGCTCTTACTGACCGATGGGTCTAGGATTGAGCTCCAAATGGTGTCCTAGAGTAGTGCATATTTTCCCTCCAGGAGGGAAACTACCCCTCTTTGAAACCCTGGATGTGCAGCCTTGCGGATGCGCACAGGGTGTCATATTAATTGAGAACCAGACGGTTGGATCCTCTTAAGCTGCTGTAGTCATCAAGTCGGTCCGTTTACTGATGATTGAGGCTTTTCAGCTAAACTTGGCTGTTCGGCAAGGTTAGCTTTCAAGCATGATAGGAGACACCACGGATATGAACAGAGTGGGATTGACTGCTAAATATCTTGCAATGCAATGGAGAATGCTAGAGTATGCTGATTTCTATGATCCTCGCCAACATCCGCCCAAAGTGTAAAGAGGCAGTAGATCAGAAGCTTGGAAAAAGTTTCCGCTGACTTTCCAGCGATTACGCCCCGTCAGTGTTCAAGGTCGACCGGAACCCACCTTCCTGCTTCGATTGGCCTTTGAAAAGGAAAGGAAGCCATTACGAAATCTACCTGCTTACCCCGGCAAGTCTACGTAGTGCTTCCATGACTCGCTCATCGCAACTCGTATCTCCAAAGAAATAATGGAGAGAACATTGGGCGACCATCGGCCTCCGCTTTGTTTTGGTACCTGTGAGGGCAGGGCGACAACGTAATTACGACACGAAACGAGGCCGTAAGTGATGGCTCCAGCAAGCCCATCTTCGGCCGCCTTCCTGCTTGGGTACCCCGGTCTTTCCCGTGATTCACGAATGTGGGGTAACAGAAGATTCTGAACATTTGAAGGTGCGCCAGGAAGCCACTACATTGGAAAAGCAAAGACAGACCGGACTGGATATGGCTGCATTCGGGTGTGTATCTGACGCCATCCATGCATGGAAACATTTTGATGAAGAACAGGGAAAAGACCTACTCGCATCAATCGTATGCAGCATTTCGACCGATTTACCTTGATTCGCTCTATAATGCCATCTTATCATACCACAAACGTAAGATAGAAAGCGGAGCCGCTCAAAGTCTCTGCGTGGATCTTGGCTCTGGTCATGGAGTGGTGGCACGCGCCATGTCCAAGCATTTCGTGAAGGTGATCGGAATCGATCCGTCGGAGGGTATGATAGCATTGGCGAAGTCTCTTACTAAAGAGGAAGGACTTTCCAATGTCACCTTTTGGCAGGGCACTTCAGAGCAGCTCTATTTTGTTGGGAATGGGACGGTTGATTTGGTGTTGGCAGGGCAGGCAGCGCATTGGTTCGATTACAGCAGGCTGTGGCCAGAGTTGCAACGAAAGGTCAAACCAGGTGGCTCGTTGGGGTTTTGGGGATTGAAGAATACAGTCTTCGTCGATTATCCCAAGGCCGTGGAGATACTCAAGGACTACATCTACAGTGACGACAAGGACAAATTGGGGTCGTACTGGCCGGCATCAGGTGTGCCCATGATAACATCAATGTACCGGAACATCGAACCTCCGGAGCAAGACTGGGAAGACATTGAGCGCGTAGATTACATCCCAGGAACTAGCGGATGCAACTCGGGAGAGGGTACGCTATTTGTGGGTAAAAGAGCCCGGATTGGAGACTGCAAGGAGACGGCCAGAACGTGGAGTGGGTTCTACCACTGGCATGAGGCTCACCCAGAGGCCAGAAAGAGGAGCGCAGGCGGGAGCGGAGATGTGATAGATGCCTGCTTTGATGAGATTGCAAATGTAGAGCCCGAGTGGAAGAATGACGACTTTGAAGTGGAAGTAGAGTGGGAGAGCTTCCTGCTATTAGCTCGACGGAGGCTCGCGGAAGGAAATGGCGATTAGGGAACATCTTCCACACGATAGACAAGAATGAACAATCGAATAATTCAGCCGTGTTGTCGCGGTGTACATTCCGAACAATGGAGTTTGAGGTGTGTGTCGACACTCGGCACTAGTATGGTGCATCTCGTTCTGTTTCTCCAGCAACAGCGGTGAACCGGCTTGGCGGCGAAAATACTGCGCTCGACGCACCTCCTGGCCCACGCTCAGCCTTTAAAGGAAACACCAAAACCCTCCTTCAGACAACATTTCCCACCTCAAGAAGCATCGTCACATATTTCCGGGCAGCCATACCATCCATTGTTCTGCGATACATAGCTTGCAATTCATAGTCTACACAATGGTAAGTCGCGGCTCCTTGAAACACGCAATCACATGCCCACTTTCGCCTTCCTGGGCTGTTTGGGCAAGTCCGTTCCCGCCCTCTGCACTCGCCGCAGGAAGGCACACAAACAACCCCGACGTTGCTCCTTGCAGTTTGTGCAACGAAAGCGGACGAGATCTCTCCCCTTTAGCACAAGGGGCCTTCTTCTCCATTCATAACACAGAGTAAACCCAACCGAGCACGATGGATAACAACAGCCAGGCCTCTACCAACTACCGCGAAGCCTTCCAACTCTTCGATAAGCGAGGCAATGGCCGCGTCGACCGCGGTGCTCTCGGCGACCTACTGCGCGCCTGCGGACAGAACCCGACCCTTGCTGAGATTGCGGATTTGGAGCGAGGAGTTGGCGCAGACTGTGAGTCCTCTCCTTGAACCCTCCACTAGAACCCCCCCTAGAAACCCCCTACAGCGGCAAAAGACGCCAAAAGCCCATGCTAATATCGGTACAGTCGACTTCGACACCTTCTCCAAAATCCTCAACCGCCCCGGCGGTTTCCGCGAGCCCTTTGATATCGAAGAATACATTCGCGGCTTCCAGGTCTTTGACAAGGACCGGTCAGGCTTCGTTGGCAAAGGCCAGATTAAGTACATCTTGACGAATTTGGGAGAGAAGATGAGCGAAGAGGAGGTTGATGAGTTGTTCAAGTCGACAATCGATTCGAACAATAACGAGATCGATTACAGAGGTACGTAAACAAAGCCCGGCATGCTCGGGTTTGCTAGACATCAGGCAAACTGGGGTTGGCTGACTTGGGTTGATTTGCAGAGTTCGTCAAGACCATCGCCGAGAATTAGACTCGCTTTCCGAACATCCTCTATATTGTCACGAAATCTCCCCGACACGCAGGATGACACTGCTATGCACGAGAGGGGTCGCGGAGGCTAGCATGCGAATATCGGCGTTGAGTGCAAACTTCACAGGTTATGGTTTGGGTCTTTTGGGGGTGGGGAGCAAAGCATGGATTGGAAATGGAAATGGAAATGGAATGGAAATGACATCTGTTTTTGGTGCCATTTGAGACGTGCGCCTGTTCTTCCTTGTTCAGAAGTGCCTGCCATGTCTGTGTGTTGGCGAATGGGTATCTAGAGTGTACAAACAAACAAATCCAAAGAATGAAAGTTCCTCCCATTAAGCCTTGGTTCGCCAAACGCCGCACCTACCTGCCTGTCGTAACTTCGTGATCTGAACCAGAGTTGACTAAAGAAATCGGCCTGGGCGTCAGGATGCTAACCCTGAACCACTTCAACCGTCCCAACCCCAATCTCAACGTCAACTTTCTTCCCCATAACCATCTCTCTGGTGGTCATCAATCCCCCGGGCAGCAAGAACACAACATCCTCCCTCCGTCCCACCCTCTCGCCCGCAAACTGCTGCCAATCCAACTGATAGCCGACCACCAAAGCACACCGTCCACACCGCTGCATATACCGCTTCTCAAACCCATCGTCGCTGCGCACGATCTCGGGCTTTCGGTCAAGAGTGGCGGAAAGTAGGAGGCCGTAGTGGTCAAGGCTAGCGGCAGGCTCTGAGTGCGCGTGTCGGTGTCGCGGGGATTGTGAGTGTGCGGTTGGTGGCGGGGGGAGCGGCATTATATGTGCTTTGTCAAGGGAATTCTGGCGGGTGGGGAGGGCGGGAAGCGGGGTTGTCGTGGCAAGGAGAAGGTGCGAGCATAGGCAGTGGTAGGTGTAGACGGTGGAGGAAGCTGCGAGGGAGATTTTCTCGGGATGAGGGGAAGACATGATTGTGTTTGGAGCGGGGTGGTTGCTGTGTGCCAGGTTCGACGTTGGGGTTCGCTTTCAAGATTTCGCACCAAGAGTAGATGATCTCCGGGGCCGCCTCTTAAGTAGCTGGTACGGAGTGCGAAAGCTCCGTGGCGGCTCGGTGTTGAAGGGTGTGAGTGCTAGCAGCAATTCCGCAGAATAAGAAGAGCTGATGTGAGAAGCCACCGACTGTGAGTGCAGACAAGGAACCAGATAGGGATTTCCGAGTAAGAATATCTGTACGCTGGGCTACCGGTCGGAAGCCCGAAGCAGCGAGCGGGAGCTTGCCAGCTGGCGAAGGTTGAGTGAAGGAGGAGCTTCGAGGGGTAGGACAAGGCAGCTCCAAGAAATAGGGAGTCCGGGCCTGTCAAGCGAAAGCAAGCAAGTTCAATCCAGATAGGTAAGGTAGGCGGAGTGCCGCGATAACAATATCACTCCAGTCAAGGCCTGGGATTCGGCAACGTGGTCGCACAGAGCAGTCGAAGCAAGGCCTCTGTTAGATATACGCCTGGTGTTTACAAATTCCCCCACCGGCAGCCAGAGCTACCCCACGAACGGGCTTCCAAGGTCGATGTGCCGCCCCGGAGAAATTTTGCACATGCAAGCTCCTGCGCGCGCGATCTTGTGACAAAGAAAAAAGCTGCGTCCGGCCCTGCCTGCCTAAACTTGCTATTGGACATTCCTCACGGAAGCCGAACCGGGGACTCTGCCATGCTGATCGAGGGGAATCGATCACTGAATTTGTTCACCTCATCGGTCATCTTCATCCCACGAGCGTGTCCTAGGACGACCGTCAGGGCGTGAGAGGGAGCGCATGTCATGCCGCCGCTAACAAAGGATGTGATCAAATTCGGACACTTCATCGTGACGAGCCAGGTAGGTAGACGGTATTCCTTCTATTTCTCCTGTTCCCATCCCAAGTCGAGCGCAGGCGTGAGCGCAAGCGCAATGACGTGATGGGCCTGATCGACGCCTCCCAATTCTAACATGCGCCACGTCCAGGTCTTTCACCTCTCGCCGCTGTCCTTCGCTCTCGTCAATATCAAACCTCTTCTCCCTGGCCATGTTCTCGTCTCTCCCCGCCGAATCGTCCCCCGCTTCAACGACCTCTCTATTGATGAGGTTCAGGACCTTTTCTTGACCGTTCAACGTGTCTCGCGTATGGTTGAGCGAGTCTTTAAAGCAACGTCCCTCAATATTGCGATTCAGGATGGTGTGGATGCGGGACAGAGTGTGCCGCATGTACATGCGCATATCATCCCTAGGAAGAGAGCCGATTTAGAAGGGTTTGGTGGTACGGACGCTATCTACAGCATGATGGAGGGCGAGGATGGCGACCTGGATCGTCATTTCAATGAGCGATCTGGATCCGACCCATCGACGACTACGAATGGGCAAGGTCGGGGGAAATTCCCGGCTGTTGATGCGGATGAGAGTAGAACGCCGAGAAATGAAGAGGAAATGGAGAGAGAAGCCCAGTGGCTAGCCGAGGAGATGGCTAAGGATGAGAAGGAGTATGGATGAGAAGATTCTGAAATCTGGCTATCCGAACGATCCGCATACTGTGGGACCGAGCTGATCCGTGGCCCAAAGTCCAGACTCGAGGAGATCATAGATCGTCTTACACAAGCCTAGCATCTAGGCTCGTGGGATAGGTGTAAGCCATCCAAAGAGGAATAAAGCATATTGTTGGAGTGTACAATCAATGATCAAAACAAACTACCTACTCGTGAAACGGAAAAGCTGAGATGTATATCTAGATAACTAATTACATCAGTAGAAGGATACGACCTATGACTCCACCTACCCATGCCAACAAATATACACCCCATGAGGTTTCTATTACTTTAGGAGGGTTTTCTATTCAATATTTCATAAGTCCACGCTTTGTCTTCGCTCCCACGCTATCTCATACGTTGTACATGAAAAAGTGCACTTACACATTGACTAGAGTCCAGTCTTTATGAGCAACAAGTAAACTAAGTTCTGCGTCACTGCGAGAATTGACCCCGACTGGACAGGACGCCAACCTCTTTACAGATTAGTGATAGGAGCAACTCTAATGCATCTTGTCACCTAACATGGAACTTGATAGGGGTTTAATTTAGGACAGTGTTCTGGATTTTCTAGGGCTCTCTTTAACTCTTGCAATATGCTTAATAGATTAACTCTATCCCCGTCATGTTCCACGTTAGGTGAGAAGGTGCTGTATTGCCCACCGAAGCAGTGAATGCCTTCTCTGTGATTAATCGCTAGAGTCAGGCTGATGGACGATGCCTTTCACGGACCAAGGAGAAACACACCGCAAAGTGAATAGGCGTTTCCTTTCCGAACCTCCAGCGCTGCAGCCTCGAGAATGAATCTTGAGCATGAGAGAGGCGCGGCTGCCTTGTGCCTGTGATCTTGGCACGCGGTGCTGCTCTTTTAAGCTCCCCCACCACCCCGCCATCGCCAACACCTTCAGCCTGCTCCTGCGCAACAACGCCCGCCGCGCGGCCGCAACAATGAGAAAAATTCCCGACCCGGAGAGTACGCCGCCGTGGAATTACCCACAAAATCCCCATCACACATCTCCTCTTCAGGTCGAATGGCTTCCTTCACAGCCCTCTTCGACCGTGATACTCGAAGAAGCTCCGTCCGTGATGCTCGAAGAAGCTCGGACCTTAGAGGCTAAGGTGAATCCCTTTAGATTTCTAGACCTGCCAGCGGAGCTACGCAATGCCGTCTACCACCACCTCATCACCAATGGGGAAGTTCTTCAGTTCGAGCGCATGCACCAAGCCGGCAGATTCCAGTACAATGTTCGGAACAACAATAAATGGCGGGTCAGGGTGAGACGAGGCACAGATGGCCTGAGCAAGCTCGATAAGTGCACGGCGCTGTTTTATGTGAGCAAGCTCGTCTCAAATGAAGCAAAGGGTAGGCCCCCTCCGTCCGTTGTCTCCCTCTTAGAACTTCGCGATTCTGCATATCTCCAACCAGACATGTCGACTAACCCAACCCAGCTGTTCTATACGGCCAGAACACCTTCCGCTTCACTATCGACGGCAAACCGCACCAACCCAATTCCCTCCACTCGTCGCAGATATTCGGCCCACTTGGCTTCTCCAACACTCTCCCTCTCTTACGCAACCTCCGAAGCATCGAGATCCAAGTTGAGCACGACAGCCTGGCTGGTTCCGGCCATTGGGAAAACAAGCGACATCGGGGTCGCATGGAGCATCTCGTGAACATTCTAAAAGAGCATGCAGACGATGAAGACAAGAGGAGTTTGCTCAAGCAGATGAAAGTCCGCTTCTCGTATCCTCCTGATCCATACCGGCCTAATATGGCTAGAAATGGTCATTTCGGTCGATTATACCCACATAACGTCCGACGATCTAATCAAATTCCGCCGGAAGACGTGATTAAACGCATGTTTGCTTTCGAGAGTCTGGCGGCCTTGAGAGGTATTGAAGAAGTCCAGATCGATGGCCTTCAGGATTGGTTTAGGCAGTGTTTGGAAATGGTGATGATGGGAAATGGGGGCGAGCTGGTGAAGATTGAGTATCCGGATATCTGGGTGAAGAGGAGGAAGGAGGGGAGTCGGAGGGCTAAGAAGATATTAGCGACGACTAGGGCTTGGTGGCAGCCGCTATTCAATTGGGAGGAGTTTGCACAGAGAAATGGGATATATACTCCCAAAGATGCTGATATTATGCAGCTGGGAATGTAGGCTTAGGCGAGGAAGACTTAGAGACGGTTGGCGTGTGCTATGATTATGGCTGAGAGCATGCTACCTTACGAGCGAGATTCATGCACAGCTCATAGCCTATTCGGCCTGGGAATAAGTTCGTAGATTCTTTTTGCTCCGGTTTCCCCGCGTACATTGGATAATCGTTTCTGATTCATAAGATGGTCTTTGGGCTATCGAGACATGCACCTAATTTCACCAAGATTCTAAATTCTAGATATTCAATCAATTAGATTGCTAACTCAACATACAATTAAAAAGATACAGGGATTTACCTGTGCTGTGAAGCCACTTCTTCTACCCGAGATTCCAATTCCATCCATGTATATCCCAAATAAGCCATGACTCCAAATCCAACAGCTATCCTCCCATCTATCTAGACCCAGCGTCACACACCCTTAACTAGTACATTATACACTCATCTTCATAGCAATCGTCTTATGTGGCGCATATCCCTCGATGATAAAATCCTCGGCTTTCCATCCATCGATACTCCCTCCAACCTCCCGATTTATCTTTAGTGTAGGAAACTCCCTGGGTTCACGTTCGAGTTGGATCTTCAGCGCATCTACATGGTCGAGGTAGACGTGTGCATCGCCCATGGTATGGGTGAATGTCCCAGGCGTAAGATCGCACACATGCGCCAGCATATGCGTCAGCAGCGCATACGACGCGATATTAAACGGAACACCAAGGCCCATATCACAAGACCTCTGATACAAAATCGAATGCAGGACACCGCGAGGTTTCTCCTGCTCCCCATCTTTCTGCCCCGGAAACGACACATAAAACTGCGCAAACATATGGCAAGGCGGCAACGCCATCTTCCCAATATCCGCCACATTCCACGCACTCAATACAATCCTGCGATCATACGGCTTGTGCTTCAACTTCTCAATTACCTCCGCCAATTGATCGACGCCCTGTCCCGTGTAGTCGGCATCGCAGCCTCGATACTCGGCGCCGAAATGTCGCCATTGGAATCCGTACACGGGACCTAGATCGCCTTCGGCGTGGTGTGTAAGACCCACGGAATCAAGGAAGGAGCGCGAGCCGTTGCCATCCCAGATCTTTATCCCCGCGGCGGAGAGGGGGAGCGAGGACGTGGAGCCAGAAATAAACCAGAGGAGTTCGCCGATTACCGCGCGCAGGAAGACGCGTTTGGTTGTTAGGAGCGGGAGGATTAGGGTTGGGGGGGAGGACGGGGAAGGGGACGGTTGAGAGAGCGTGAATTTCATTTGCGGGGGCGCGAAGATGGATTGCGTGCCGGTGCCTGTGCGGTCGGGCCGGTGTTCGCCCTTGGAGAGGATCGTGCGGATTAGGCTTAGGTATTGGTATTCTTCGTGGTTGGGCATGGTGGGCTTTGGTTTTGTAGTGTTTGTTGGAGAAGCGGTGGAGGGTTCGGTGGAGGGTTCGGTGGGTGTGAGGGCGATGGAGGGCGTTGGTGTGGGGAGTTCTTCGGCGGAGGGAGGCATTGTGTAGTCCAAGATAGCGTTTGTTGGGTTGGAGTTGGGGGGAGTTTAAATCTTAGAAGTCAGGGTGGGATGAAATAGTGTCCATTAGAGCAAAAGTGTGAGACGCGACTGCGCGCCTAGTCTTTATGTCTATCCGAAGAGGGGCGCTAAACTCTTTAGATCGAAAACTCACCGCAAAACATTGAACATCACGACTACGATTCTATAAAATGGCTGAAGAAGCGGCTGCTGCCCATCATCTCTTGAATATTCTAGAAGAACGGGATCTTCATGTCGATCTCGACCAAGTCCTTGAAGCATTCGAAAATGAGGATACGAAGAAAGAGATGGCTGCTTGGGTGAACGAGCATCTGAATTCGGAGACCTTGCTGACAAAAGAGGAATTAGAGCTGTAGGACCACAAATCATTGCGGCCTACACTTACTTAGCTAACAGTTCATTAAAGATATCAAACACTGAAGAAAAAAGGTGTTGTTCATCTGTACGAAAATGACGAGGCGCCAATTCGTCCAGTTCTAGACCACGAATTGTCTTCCGCTATTGACTCTCTAGAAAGCTCAACTGCGGCGATTGAGGAGCAATGCAGGGTCTTAGAAGCTCAGCGCGATGCTTTGATGGCACTCAAAGCTCTCGATAAGCCGAATTTATCCGTGGAGCATATGAGGAATGAACGGAGAAGGAGGGAAAATCAGGAGAAAGCTAGGCTTGATATCGCTGTAAGTAATTCCATAAATCACATGATGTGTAAGCTAATGTCGAGCAAGGTGGAAGATGTCGCTACGTCCATCAATGAGCAATTAACAGACACACAACGCGAAGTTGAAGCAGAGAAGTCGTCTGTTATAAGCTATGTCACAGAAAGGCTTGCTTCAGACGACAAAATGCTTGCCAACCTTCCCGGCATCGTGTCGAAGATCATGGCTGAACCAGAGGTTAGCGAAGACGAGAAGTCGATCGATCAATGGTGTCAAGCTATTATTTCATTTCGGACTGCGGAAATCAAAGCTAGAGTTGACGCTGTGTACCTCGACAATCTGGGCAAGGACCTACCGGTGGAGCTCCAGAATATGCCAGAAAACGAACTTCTGGAGCGCAAGGCGGAGATACGGAAGGAATTGGAGGACATGCATTCAGAAATTGCTTATCTTGCCGAGAGCGCAGTCGAGCGTGAGTTGAAGAAACCTATAACAGAGTTAAAGGAGCGGAAAGAGAGGGAGAGAGTCGAGGCGAGGGTTGCTTGGTTGAAATATGTATGTCCCGCCCAGACTCCGTCCAACATTATTGCTAACAAGACTAGGTTTTGTCTACCCTCGATTACATGAGCGAGAGGCTTGATACCATCACCATCTACACGACGAAGATTGATGACTTTCGCCATGCGCTTGATCATGTCAAGGCGGCGGCATTGCAGCATATGCCCACGTCGAACGTAGAAGCATTGACGCCATCGAGAAAACGCACGATGTCTACTCCGAAATCTCCTCTCTCAACCATAGTAAAGCTAAAGCCTTCAAAAAGCGTCGACCTTCCGCCTGCGCTGGAAGATGCACTCCGACAAGCTGGGATATCCTTCAACCACGACAGCATCGAAAGCCTAATGGAAGCATTGATGAATACACAGCTCGAGAGGGAGAAGAAGCTGGACGATCATTACACGTCAGCCTCTTCGTCAACGCATGAAAGCTTAGCCGAAGTCTTCGGGAAAGCAGATATTAAATTGAGACTCATTCTTGGTGCATTGTACTCACATACTCCATTTCGGCAAGTTCATCTATCGAATCCGAAGCTAGAAGAGCAACTGAAGGAAATGGAGAAGGGATTGGAGGATGCCGATAGGAAGTTGCTGAATGCAGAGGCCAATGAGCTTTCGTTGAACGATCCGAGGGTCAAGGCGTTCATAAGCAAATATGGATCTGAGAGGTAGAGAGGAAAAATATGTAGTTTAAGACAGAAATCCGTATCCTCTTAGTACACCGCCTTTATCTTTGGCAAGAGGTGTGATGTCCAGCTTCTTCTTGTTGCTGTTGTAAAAAGTGAATTGCTCCCGTGAAACCGAGGTTGGGGTGGTGTATACTCAATACCGAATCGGGACTAGTGCTGCACGCCACCCCAGCCTCCGCGAAGCTCAGGAGCTGACTGACAACACAACTCGAACCCTCACCACAACACCGTCAATCTCCACTCCTCGCGGAGCCCGGAATGCTCCCAACCCATATTTGCAGCTCAACGGGCTCTTTCACCTTCAATTGAGATCGCACAACGTTTCCACACCGCTACCAACGAGCTAGACTCTCTCGTCCGACCCAGCCGCCGAATATCCCTCACCCGCCATGGCCAAAGGAGAAATCGGCGCGCTCGTCAGCGCCGGCGCTGTTGCAACAGCCCTCGGCGGCGCCTACAAATTCAGTGAATTCGTCAACAAAGCCAAACGTCTCCATGATGTCGGCCCTGCAAATGCAGTCTACGTCCGCCTGATCAACCGCGTCCGCCGCGACCTCGACGAAGTCAAGCGCCTCCTCACCGTCCCCGAAGTCAAACAAGCACTTTCGACCAACCGCCCTAAGGCCGAGTGGGTGTATGGCTGCATCCGCGATACCCGTGGTGCACTCGAGAATATCACGCCGCATACCGAGCGGGTGGCTGGGGACATCGATGGCGGAAGGCGTGTTGGGTTTAGACATCGGCTGAGGTGGCTGTTGGATGAGAAGGAGAAGCTGGAGAATCGAGAGCGCGAGGTGCAGGCCGCGCATGCTAGTTTGTGCGAAGCGATTGGATTCTTGACGGCGCTCGAGCCGGTTGATGAGAGCAGGAAGGTGGACAGAAAGGTTGAAATTGAAATTGATCGCGAGGGACCGCGCATGGTCGAGGAGAGAGAGGTTTGGGTTGATGGACGTGATGGACGTGATGGACGTGATCGTGAGACTAGGAGGGTTGAGGAGAGGGAGACCTGGGTCGAAACGGAGCGTGCGCCGCATACTCATGTTGAAGAACGCGAGACTTGGGTTGAGAGTGAACGTGGCCCTCGACGTTATGGCGAAGAGCGTGAGGCCTGGGTCGAGAGTGAGCGTGGTCCACGGCGTCACGTGGAAGAGCGCGAGGCCTGGGTCGAGAGTGAGCGTGGTCCACGGCGTCACGTGGAAGAGCGCGAGACCTGGGTTGACACCGATCGCGCTCCCCGTTCTCACATTCAAGAGCGTGAGAGCTGGGTTGAGACCGAGCATCGTGGCCCTCGACGTCACGTCGAAGAGCGCGAGACCTGGATTGATACCGAGCGTGCGCCTCGTTCCCATGCTGAAGGGCGTGGGGCCTTCGTCAGGCACCACCACAAAGGCCCAAAGCGAGTTGAAGAGCGCGAGCTTCATATCCACCGCGATCCTCGACACATCGAAGCTAGATACTCGGAGTACGGCCCCGGCAGGCACGAAGAGAGTCGCTATGAAGAGCGCCGCTACGAGGACGATCGGTACGCTGGTCGCCCAAGTGACGTCCATGTTCGCGAGCGCGAGACATACATGCCAGGCCCTCCTTCTCGAAGCCCACAATATGGTCAGTACGGAGAATACGCCGAATATGGCGCTCCTCAACCCTCCGGAGCTTCTGTGTATCGTCGCAAATTTACGGGAGACCCTGGGTTTGGTGATGAGGAGGTGCATAATCCTCAGCCAGTACCACCGATGAGAAATGACCGCGAAGTAAGCTGTCCTCAATGACTTGCCGTGCTCAAACTAATGTTGCTACCTAGATTTGGATCGAGGAGAAGGAAGATTACAGATACGATGAATATGGTAACAGGCTTCCAGAACGGATGCTGCCAGGACGACTCGAGCGCACCCGATACCCGCGCAGCCGTATGTAAATGTTTGATCCCCCGCTTCGAGGCTGGACGAAAGAAGCTGTCCATATCATTTACCTAATTATTTGGAGTCCTTGGTCTAGTAAGTTTGAAAGCTCCGAAGCTGGAAATGAAGAGTGGCTATAGTATTTCGTTGGTCCTTTGGTAGTTATTGAAGTTTTCTTTTTCTATGTGGTGCCGATTGTGGGTATGAAATTTGGATTGACGTTCCAGAAGCGACCTCGTCAATGCTGTATACGCTTCCGACACGTTTCCTACATCTTCACACCCTCTACCCCTGCATCTTGTCACTAAAATTTGTATGCATTCATTATCGACGCGCTGTTCGCATTAGCACTAGAACGATGACTTGGCTGAAAGGGAACTATGTGCATCGTGAAGGCTTACCTGGTAAATCTGATCGCAAAGCTACAGTATACATGTTCTCCACGACGTTTTCAGCGCTATCACCGTCCTTCACTTATCCACGGCTTCTCGCCACGTACTTAACCTTAGAACACAACAGCCACACTGCAATTTCTTGTTTTTGCCCGTCGATATTTCACCAACCCGAACAATTCAACCACTACTAAAGCAATACCATCTACACATCATGGCGCGCTCTTCCTTTTTCGCCAGCTGTTTTTCCATCTGACCTAGCATCTCCACCGCCGTCTAACCACCATCCATACCGTCTACTTATCCACCCTTTCCATCCTTGTCCTTAACTTCCTGTCCACGAGCTTCACTCTTGTTTCCTTTGATTGGACATCCCTTGGTGCGGATTGTTAACCGACATGTCAGTCTCCGCAGCCGACAGTGTTGTATAATCAACATGCAAGGAAACATGCAAGGAAGTATTCGGTTGCGCCCGTTAGTACGGCAGTAGATGGGTTGAGGGTGGGGATAAATATGAACTTTATATCCTATATATGCTTCTCGCGGTCACGTGACGAGCTTAGTTTGTTTGGTTTTGTTAGATGAGATGTGGACTGGGATACTAATGTGTCATAGGATGTTCCTCTACATCATCATTACTATCTAAGCCTGCAAACTTTACTACCGTGTTTAAAAGTTACTATGAGCGTTGTAGCCGCTATTGCATAGAGATTTACACAAGGTCGTCATGCGCATTAGCAGTTACTTTAATGAAAGCAATTATTAATATAGGCTAGTGCAATACAATCCCGCATGTCTTACGTAGCTAGCACTGTGTAATTTACTTAGATTAGTTAAGAGCTTAGCAGTCCTGGCAACCTAACTTAACTTGAGCTAACTCAGCTCTCTACGGAAATCCCCACCCCACAAGGCTTTGGCCGGTGAGACTCGGCCATCCTCCCTACTAGCGTACTGGCACTTGCCACCACATATTGCTACTTTAGATTTATAATATACCACTCTAGTGTGGATATAAAGAAGAGGGTGGTAGTAAGTAGTTGATAGTGAAGAAGCTAAGCTAAGGTGTATATTATTACGAGAGGCAGTTACTACAAGAGGTTGACGTGTGACCAAAGCAGCTTGACTACTGCCTCGCGTCTGTTCTCTGCCGCCACCGAAAGCGGCGTCCGCCCGTGAGCATCCTTCAAGTCGACGTCAACCTGGCCTGTCTCTAGCAGCAGTCTGACCATACCCTCGTATCCGTTCCCTGCCGCCCACCATAGCGCTGTCCGTCCAAATCGAGTATCCTTCAAGTTGACGTCAACCGAGCCTGTGTGAAGCAGAAGCTTGAATATAGCTTTGTGACCAATCTCAGCAGCATAACTTAGTGGAGTCCTGCCGTCCTTTTCTTTCAAGTTAGGCTTAAAATCTCCTGTCTAAAAGACTAGAGTAAATATCACCTTGTTGCTAAGGCAAGCCAAGTGTAAGAGTATAGTTCTTTAGTTTAAGAAATTAAACTTGCGTCTAAACGCGGCTTAAGTTCTTTTGCTATAGTAGAATAAGCGCAGATTAGGGAGTTAAATATGTGCAGACTGCCTTACTGCATGAACTTCTACAAACGTTTAGATTGCTTTTTTGCTTTTAGTTGCAAAAGCAGCAAAAAAAAAAAAAGGAGTCCTGTAGCGCTTATCCTTAACTTTTAGTACAACTAGTTAAACAGATAAACTTAGATAAGATTTAATATATTATCTTCTGCTAATATATACAGAAAACTTATATTCTCTTTATGTCTGTGTATTTTATGTTGTTTAAAGAGATTGTTAAGCGTAATCTAACTAGCAAGCAGGAAGCTGTCAAGAAAACCTAGCTAAGCGATACTATCCCTCTGTGCTAGATCAACTTAACCCTCCTCCTCTAAGGCTTGTAGATGACTCTTGCTAATGTCTAAACTAGCAGAAACAGTAGCGCTAATGTAGTTTAAGGCAACATTGCTTTAGCTGCTTATAGCTTTAACTTTAAAAGTTACTTCCAAGATAGAGCTAAATGTTCCTAACTCTACTTTCTTTAAGGAGAAAGTTACTAACTTACTAACTTATAAATAAACTAGACTTTTTAAACTTTAGATAGTGCAATTTAAGCTTTTTTTTTTAAAGGAATTAAGTATAAACCTTTTAATACTATTTTTAGGATATTATTAAAATTCTACTTTAACAAGGTCTTAGGCTTAACTCTAGAAAGAATAACAAAGTATAACTACTCTAGGCTTAATAATTGCCTTATAAAAAGTACTTTTTTGTCAAAATAAAGGTGTACAATACACACGAAGACAGGCTGAACTGCTCTTATCTTACGTAGTTTATTCAGACTAGACCAACTTTGATCCTTCAAGACTTAGACGAATACCTCTAAAGCAGAGATTCATTACTGCTTATATATACACTACTTCTTTGTTCTGTACCTTGCTGCATTCGTCCATGCCTCTCTGCATTTGTCTATGCCTCGCTGCATCCGGCTGATCGTTCTTTGTCCATTTTGGTCCGATATGGCCGCAAGGGGCCAAAATCAAGCCTGATCGTGACATTAAGGTACTTAGGCTTACGCAATAGCTATTGACATGTTCTATCATAGGCAGTTTTAATAGTTATCTAGCGTAATTTAATCTAGTTAAACCTTAGCAAGTCTAGCAGTTCCTACTTCTGCTTTTTATTAAGCAACCTAATGTAATTGTTAGAATACTCTCTAATTTTTTAAGCTGCTTTAACGCCTTTTTCTTTCCTTTAGCATAGAGAATACCTATTTAAATTTTTTTTAAAAAAATACCTAGCTGACAGTATGCTGCGTCTTCTTTACGTGTTTTCATGCGCTCCTTTGCCTATGAGAATTGCTCCTCCATATTAAACTAGGGCAAGGGTCTCCTATTAGAGCTTTAACAGGGATACCTATGAAATCATAAACTGTCTGCTCTAATAGTTGTTTATTTCCCAAGTATACTCCTTCTCTAGAGAAGAGCTTAACTAATGCGGGAGCGATAGGGCCTAGCTACAAGTGAACCATTCGCCTTTCTTGAACGCTGGCTTCCATATTTAGGCGCACTCGGTATCTCCATCTGAATTGCTGTTTGAAACGTCGGCCAGATACGCGTAACATAGAGTTAATAACTTCTGAAAGCTCTTAACTGCTCGCCTTATTAATGCAACCTCAATCTATACTTGCGATAACATCGACTTTATTCAACCGCTTACGTGACCTTTAACTTCTACTGCTTAGCTTATTTTTCAGATCATGTATGGCCCCTTCCTCCAAAATTTGGTGGACGCATATCCCTGTGGTGGGACTGCTCAGGCTCAGGGGCCGGAAATGGACCCCCCTCCCTTCTTCTCAGTAAACTACCAATATTGCGGGAGTTGCAGCACGTAGGTGTTATTATTATTATTTTTTTGGATTTTATAAGTAACACATAATAGAGTAGCGCTTCTACAACCTAGAGCAACAAAAAAATAGGTAAATCCTCCAACCTACGCACACAGAAAAGCGGGAAAATGGATATACACGTGAAGTTGCGCCTGATTGGTTGAATAAGCGAGCCGGCGGCAAAGGCCATTCTCAGCTCCCACACACGCGCAACACGTAAGTGTTATAGAGTAACCCCACATGATCGCTAATCTCGATCAAGCAGTTTTTGGTAGGTTATATATTATAATTGTTGGAGTTCTTCCATCAATAATCGGTCGTGTGGCCCAATGGCAAGGCGCTTGGTAAGTCTACAGGTGTACTTTATTCCTGTAACATTTCTAATCGCTCCTCATAGACTACGATTCTACAGTAATCAAGAGATTCCAGGTGAGTTTCACTAGAAACAATTGACGATTCGCATCCTAACTCCTCCCTAGGTTCGACCCCTGGCACGATCAACAATTTTTTTTTTTTTGCTCTCACCTGGAGGGCGAAAAAAATGAGACACTAGTCCCAAAGATTACTAGGCGTTGCTAGGACTAGTGTCTCATTTTTTTTCGCCCTCCAGGTGAGAGCAAAAAAAAAATGCGAGAATGTTGCCTCTTCACGCGGCATTGGTACAAAGTACTTTTTTCCATTAAATTTTTCGTTATTGCGATGATTTTTAATTAGAATAGTCCTTGCGTATTTCAATGATCCCAGGTCGCTAATGATTTATATTATTGCTCCACGACGGAAAGAAAATATAACCTTCTGAGCCCTTCGATCGGAGCCCTTAGTCTTGTCAGTCAACTACGAAGTAGAAAATTCGTCCAGCTCGCACTTGACTTGAAACATTCATTTGGCAAACTTTGTAGTAGAAATACGCACAAGCTCATGGAGAGTCGTCAACATTCGAGCAATGAGCTCTTATGTGTGAAAAGCTCAATTGATCACCCCTCTTTCACTAGTCACATTTCTTATCATTTTTTAATTGGGCCTTTCTTTCACTAGATCTCATGCACTGCATCCATTCACGCATGAGACATGCCTTCACCGCAGTACGTCATGCTAGTACACAAAAACCCCGGGCCTATGATCCCTTCGGCTTCTAAGATACTGATCACTTCTCTGATCCATGAACTATAAGTCGACCTGTCGTTCGGAAACCTTCATTATTTAAAAACTTGAATCGATGCGATTGTAGATGAATGACGATGCCTTCAACCACTCTAATCGACGTATCTGCGCAAACCTCAAATGTTCCCTCAGATGCTCGGATCAAAGAACTTTTCGAGGAAGCCGCCGCAAGGCAACTGTCGCCACAGGGCTTGCTGCTGCTACAACAATTTTTGCGGGATCCGATGAAGGGCAAAGCTCAGCATGATCTGGAGCAAGTACTAAACGACTGGCTCGAAGCCTTTTATTCTGCAGAGACCGAGATCTCCGGCAAAGACAAATCTAGGCTCGCAGCACCAGGTGGCCCGCCAGATGCGCTTCTTGGTCTTATCCTCCACGTTCAATGCGAAGACGATACGATTGATAAATTCTGGGATGCTCGAAGCGCAACCATCAGCCTTCTCGAGGAGAAGGGAATTAATGGTGAATCAACATTTGGATATGACTACCATTGGCGAGCCGATGATTCATTCCATCGCAAGGCCCGTTGTCCCGCCTTGAATTGGAGCAAATCACTCACCCATCTGCACAACCAGCTCTCGCTTGACCTTTTAAAGATTCTTCCGCTACCTTTCGTCATTGCTGCTTCAAATTGTACAAGAGACAATATACAGAAACACATGAGATCGAGAGATGCAGTGCCTCTTATCGTCGAACTCAGTCTTGGAGTACGTCTCGTGTTTGATCTCGACTTTCGTGGTAAATCTCTACATCGAATCATTATGTACCTACACCATCCGATAGCTGGGTTTTTTGCTAGCAACCAAAAGCGGTCCGCTCTAGGGCTACAGCTCGACTCTGGAGTCAACCTCTTCCTGGAGTTGTTGAAAATTCCCCACAACCACGATTTATTCACCCGCAGCTATCGAAACCAATGTCAGCGTCCAATCAGGACAAGGCGTGCACCGATCGGCGAGATGTGGGGCTACATAAAACAGGAGGCCAGAGAGTCCAGGCTGTTGCAGCTAAGCGAGTACACCCCAAGCTTTCGTAGCTGGGCTGGAAAGTACGTAGGTCAAGATCCTTCATCAATTCTAGTCTCTGGAAGTAGCCTTGCCCGCGCTGCAGCTAATATCGTCGTTACGAGAATTCATCGGCGGACCAAACTTGATGAAGCGCGACAAAAGCTGGATCTGCAAACAAAGTCCAAAATCTCTAAAAGCCACACGGAGACGGAAAACTTCAACTCGACACAGCTAGAGCGCCATCCAGCTGGACATGTTCCTCACGACAAGCATTCTGCGACATCTCCAACCGATTTCCAGTCGTTAGTTGAAGAAATGCCTCTCATCAGGCCCTTGGACGACTTTTCTGAGTCCGATGACGAATGTCAGGAACAAGAACTTGATTCAGTCATTTCGGACGATATTGTGATTGCTTCGTGCCATGGCACGGAGGTAAAGGTCTACAAGAGTGGAAAAGCTAAGCTATTGTGTTCAAGAATCCCACTAGGCTTCCGATTTGGTAAGGATCAAGCTACAGAAATTCTTGCCGCCGGCGGAACTCCAGAGATATTCTTCACTCCTACATCGATTGAAATTCGCATCGCGGATAAGGTTGTCTACGATAAGCCTCTTGAGCGACTTCTGGCAAGCGCCGATAATTCCCTGTGGCTCTGCCAGTTGTTGCATGAGAAAGAATCTCTTACCATGGAGAAGGAAAAGTATGACATTGGCACTCCGCACACGGAATTGAGCATTATACCTCACAAAATGCAAGGATGTGGTTGGAAAAATGGAGAACTGAAGAGGGAACTTTCATATGGTGAGAAATTCCATTGCTCGGAACTTAAGAGGAAGGGTAAAGTTACAGAGAAGCGAGTCTACTTCCGAGGCGTGGGAGTTCGCGTGCCACTAGAAGCCAAGGTTGACACAGTCTCTGTACGTGCTGATCTCGTTCCGGATAGCAAACACCATACTCACCCATGCACCTTGGGTGGCGGCCAGCCAAGTGACCCAGCCCATCGACTCGGTATAGAGGTCAAGTACGAGACTGAGGCAGGGGATTCAAAGACCTTCTGGTATAACAGTAACGGTGATCGCAACATCATGAGATTAAATTCTCTTACTGACTTTCTCGACGGGAAGGATGACGACTGGACAGAAAAGCAGCCGAGAAGATTCTTAGATAGGGATCATGGTCGTCGTAGGTTTCAGATTTCGTATACCTCTTAGTAAGCTGAATTACTCTATACATCATTCCTGTAATACATACCTTATTTATGTCGATTATAAGATACCTGTAGATTAGATTCACGGCTTTCAGCTAGAATTATATAGTATAAGAATTTTTTACTATATTTCCTTAATTTTTTAATACTACAAATAATCTTAGAACTGAATATATCTATTTTAGTAGACTCTACACTACTTAGAACTATATACTAATATAGTAGAGTGTTATACTAGAGTTTAGGTTCCTAGGCTAACTTAGGTATAAGGTCTTTAGTAATAGAATATAGTTTAATAACTAGGAGATATAAGATCTTACTTTACTAAAGAGTAAAGAATAGATAGTAGAGATTATAGAAGGTAAGGATTAATACGAAGGTATAATATACTAATTTAATTAAAGAGTTAACTATAATAAGTATAACTATAAGATCTAACTTCTACTTATATCTATTACTTTATTAAGTGGGCCGAAAATAGGACCAGTCAGTCCTTAACACCTCATATCCCTACGAGTTGATTAGGGCCCAATATTTCAGACCCTCTTCATGCTGCTCAGGGGTTGCTCAGCCACAAATCAAGCTACTTGTGCAGCTGAGTGGCAGCGGGGGCCTGCGGATCGGCAGCAGCTTCATCCGGTCTTACTCAGCCAGTATAGAAATATTAATACGCTTGTACTGAAAAGCTATATACATTCTGCCGCCATTTTCGGCGGCATATGCCACCGTTTTCGTGGGGCGTTGTCATCGGTGGTGAATCTGTATAGTGCAACACGAGTCTGCAGTGCAGAACTGAATGAAGCAGTTGCGCCTTCTTAGATTGGGCTTTCCATTTCCTTAACTCACCTTCGCTGTAATTTTCCAAAATCTGTCATATTCAACTCTCACTGCAATATTAGAATGGGATGCTAACATGAGGAGGCTCAGCTATTAGTCGCCCCACCCCTGCATCCTTTCAGCATGGGCGTACCACATAATAACTGAGAGTCCAAGACTGGACCTTGCGATGCTCCATGTACAAAGGATAGGCCATATTTAACACCTAAGCAGGTTAGTGCACGAGGAGGCACTAGCTTAGATTAATATTACAGAATAGCTCCAAGACGTACATTGTAGCTAGCGTCTAATTCTTTTTAAAGCCTTAAACTACTTTCTTTTCGTAAAATTAGAAGCTACCTTCTTAACAAAAAGAGTAGCATATTAATAAGAGATACTTTCTCTAGGTAGGTTCTAGAGCATTAGCTACTACACCTACTACTTACCTAACTTATGTTCTATACTACGTTACGTTTAAGCAGCTCTTTATTATCTTTTTTTCTAACTGTGTGCAGAACTTTAGAATCTACGACGCTAACGTCCCTGCTAACTTATCCGCCTCTTTAAGTGTCTAATAGCCTTCTGCATCACACAGATGTACAGACAAATATACGGGTATGACATTGTAAGCGGGCAAGAAAGCGGGGAGCTGAGACAGACTAGGAGATGAAAGCGCTAAAGCAGCGCAAGCCTCCTCTAGCACAGATAGTACTGCGTCGGTATCCCGGCTGTATAAGAGGCATATTTGGCGTAGGGAGTAAAAGAATAAAGATTCTTAGAGTAAGGGGACTCTGCTAATAACTATAAATGCTGTTCTTTGTTACCTAGCTGTTACCTGTTGCTTCAGAAAGTTTTATAGGTTGTCGCGTAGTTATTACAACATTGTTGTATTATTATTAAAAATTACATTACCTTAACTTAAGCTTATTAGTGACTGTTTAAGACATTTAGTTGTTGCTCCTAGCCCTCTTTGCCTTTTCTAATTTTCTCCTTCGTACTTGAAGATAGATTTCAATCTGCTCTTCGTCAGATATCAAAGCCTGCCATAGATTGTACCATGACCCAAATTCATCTGGCCATCTATCAGGGCACCAATCTGGGACTTTCTTGATACCTAGCTCTTCCTCTTGAAATACTTTCATCGCATCGCCTAGCACTGCGCGGACATGTCCGTCTGGGGCAGTGGCGCGAATGATGCGGGCATGTGAGTGTAAATGGTGGCCGAATAAGCTTAACAGGAAGGTGAGATGGCGGAATAACCATAGTGGGTAGGGTATTTTAAGAGATATCAACGTATGTTCGCGCTTAGTTTCGTCGCACTGGTGGTCGGCGTACGTGCTGATGATTTTGAGAATGTAACCTGGGTCGAGCTCAAGCTGGAGAGCGGGTATGACAATCGCATCTGCGATGGCTCTGCGGTCGCTGTCGTGCGTGGTGAGCCATTGATGACCTCTCTGTTTCCCGTACAAGTCTTTGCTGATGAGGGCTAGGCGCAGCAATTCGGCTCGCTCATCTTCAGTGAGGGTCGAGTTGGTAGTAGATATGGAAACAGATGTGGTCAATGTATGTTGGCCGAGCGCTTGATTCAGAAGAGCGAAATCGGCGTTGAAGGCGAAGGTCATAATCTCGATAAGGTAGCGGCGAAGCTGGATCACTAGGTCCCTTTGAAGGCTGTGGTTTTGCGAGATCGCAGTCGCCGAGTATGGAGGTGGTGGTTCGGCCATTCCGAAGATGATGTACACGTATGTGGTGTCGCTACGGCGAAGGAGGTGGATGCCGCTCATGTTTCTTTGCGTCACTGTGTAGAGCCTTGGCGCTACCACAGTTTTGGCTCTCAACATGAGCTTGTCTAGGTTTTTATTACAAAGTCAATCTCTAGTTAAGAATCGCGTTTCCGGAAGAGGGGCTGGTGCCGCCTACGCTTTTACAAACGTCTCCAAAACTTGCCCGCAGTGCTTCTGCGCTTGTCACCTATCTTGCCACACACACAGCAATATTACACTACCAGTTCTCTGCTTTTTAGATATTGTGTCTAGAATTTTCGTCCCTAGGGGTTCTATATAGAGGCTAGGAATACCGAGCCACACTGGTGCCTTCTTAGAAAGCAGCGGTTGCATCTATTTGTTCCTATAGACAATGCATCTGCACTGCGAAACCATTCTTGCCTACCACTCCAAAACTAACCTGAGCTAATTCGCGTCATGAACAGCAGTTCACTTCCTTTGTTAGTTCTCTAACGTGAAGTCCTTCATGTTAGGAAGTTGCGCCCACGCCGAAGCCGCTCAACAATTGATGAGAATAGCAGCAGTACTAGGGGTACAGCTTCCTACCGAAACCGTTGAACAATACCTGTTCTTTTGTGCCTTTCCTTCTCTTCTTCTTCTTTTCTCTTTAGCTTAACACTATTACATCTTGATACGTATACATTTCTTCTTCACCCTATTGTTTTAGAACTTAAAATTGTGCTCATTTTCTTACTTCCTTCAATGGCGATAGCTAACATGAGCATGTGCATGATGCTAATTTTTATTGCTAGGCCAAATGGAATCACCACAAACACAAACGTGGTACGGAGCCGCTCTCGGAACCCTCCTCGCATCTGCACTAAACGCGTGGTACTTTCTTCTGATTTTGCTCTGCCTTTCAGAAAGGTTCAGGGGCTGGCGAAAGAGGGTGGAGGACTGGTTAGACGACCACAACAAGTGGGCCAAGGAGAAGGCTGCGGACAAGGCCAAGGAGAAGGCTAAGGAAAAGAATATAACCAAAGCGGCGGAGAGAGATGAGTTGGGGAAAATGGTGGAGAAGAGGGTGGCGGCGGGGGTGAAGAAAGAGTTAGAGGAGGAGATGGAGGAGGAGATTAAGAAGCAGAAGGGAGAGTTGGTGAAGCAGGGGAGGACAGAAGAGAGGAAGAGACAGGCCAAGCGAGCCGAGCAGATGGAGGAGAAGTTGAAGGAGCTAAGGGCGCAGCTGCAGAAAACCGTGGCCCTAATAGTGTGAATTTTTTTTTCTTTTGCTTTTCCTTTATTTTGGTTTCTAGTCTTTCTTTTCTTTCTTTTTAGTTTTCTCTACATCCTACTTCCCTTATTCTTATAGGCCTCCTTACCCCACTTCTTATAACCCTTCTTAGCTTGCTTTCCGCACCAGCCAATCTTGACATAACCAGCTTTTTCTTTGCCTGTGCCGTTTTTGAGGTCTTAGAAAGTAACCTCTTCACCGTCCGACCCCTAAGTATGCGAAAGAATTGCACAACGCGGAATGTTGTTGCCTACGCGTTCGACAAGGCTTAACTCACCATCGTCTCGAAGCTGCAAAAGACGCATTGAGAAAGGGGTGTTGGATGGCTCTAGCGGTAGAGATAGCTAGATAAATGTGGAGAAGATCTGTACGAGCCACACGGCTAAACAACCTCATTGGCGACAGTAGTCTAGGTGATGGAGAGCACACCGGATGAACAAGCTGAGTATGACGGCCAGTGCGGAGTGGCTGAGTTTCGACGATTTAGCATCGTATAATTAAGCTCATATGCTGCATAAGCGCTCTCGAACATATGCTGATGTGATCGGACAGTCCTTGCAGTATTGCCACCTCGCAGGGAGGGTGGCCGAGCCGCTCCTGCCACGGGATTGCGAGGTGGCCAGTTCTGTAGTTGTTTTCAAAGAGCTGAGGTTGGGTGGCCAAGGCTGAGTTGAATCGCAAGGCTGCGGGGCTAAGGTCCGCCTTACCAAGACCATGCACAGCCGCCACGTTTAGTAAAGTACACCCTGATGATTGACTATGTGAGGCGTGGTTGTTCTACACTAGCCCGGATTGGTAATCGCTTCTGTTGGAGGTACCAACCCGCTGGCTGGTGGCAGCCTTGCATGAATTTACGCGCTACAGCAGACACTAGGCTGATGATAACTTCCCAATATTGTAGCAAGGTTCTAATAAGACCCTGTTCCTAGTATTTAGAGAAGTAAGAGCTTTATAGTGGTTTTGTGGGGAGAAAAGTGTGTTATGCCATAAAAGACAGCTCCCCACTGAAACGCAAGGATACAAGCGTAATTTATAGGTGAGAGGGGTCCTGGGATGTTCAGGAGTAACCACAGTACGTGGCTTATATAGAACTATTACAGATACTGATGTGCCCACGGAATGTGAGTTGTTTGAAGTCAAAGTACCTCTCATATTTCTCAGCACGGTAAGTCTCAGCACACAGGGATAGATGTTGATACAGTAGTGGGAGCGACCTCTTTTGTGTGATACTGAGGCGCCAACAATGGAAATTGATGTCATATCTACTTCCCGAGCTCTAGAATTGTCTGTCATTGAGATAAAGGAACTTGGTCGGCGAACACGACTTCACGGCTCGTGATCCCGGCACTCAAAATGCGGAAGCTAAGTTCGAATAGAGAATGCGTTTTGCATTTACGTACTATGTTCCACCATTTCTCCTTCTATCTCATCATGTTGTCATTCTCCCTGTTTTAGTTGAAGTCTGAGTTCCTACTCTCGAAATCCGAAGGAAATTATTTCCTGGCCCCATGAATATTGCTTCCCCTTTGTTGTTCAAAAGCTACATCCAAGCAACCCTGTAAGACTTCCCGCTTATCAAGTAGTTCCACCACGCTGCCGTTCAAAGCATATCCTTTTTCTTTGTTTGTTCTTTGACCCTCGCAGACAAAGACGGGTGGTATAAGGACCCGAGCCTTGAAGGCTTCCCTCGACGTTTGCGCCACACACTTTCTTGTCTTTCATCAACTCCCTCGAACGCCCACCCCGATAATCCCTCATTCCTTCGCACATCCAAAGAGAATTCACGACCGTCGCGGGTAACGAGAACAGAAACATCAACAACACCCTCCACCATGGCGGACCAATGGTTGAATAAGATATTTCTCGAATACACGACCAGTTTTGGGGAAATGTATAGTATCGAGATCCGGGATTTCCTGCACATCACCTCACTAGGAGGTAGCAGGGAAATAAACGAGGTAACAAATTGTTGGTTCAAGGAAGACCCGGTCAACATCTCTCTCGCCCTACTTACTCAAATGTACGGGCGCGATGACGTCCTTGTCGTGGGGACATTCTGGGGCCAGCAGCTCTGTAATCTGGGTCGGGGGATGATCGAGATGGATTCCCTCCCATCTGTAAGAGATATTAAAACGGCGTTGCAGAATGAGGAATTCCGCTACGTGGTTGTGCCTTGTAGCGATGGAATGTTAGCTACTTTCGAGGGAATTATAGAATATGAGAAGGAGTTAGAAGAAGAAGAAGAAGAAGAAGAAGAAGAAGAAGAAGAAGAAGAAGAAGAAGAAGAAGAAGAAGAAGAAGAAGAAGAAGAAGAAGAAGAAGAAG